GAGGCAGGAGAATTGCCTGAACCCAGGAGGCAGAGGTTGCGGTGAGCAGAGATCACGCCATTGCACACCAGCCTGGGTAACGAGAGCGAAACTCCGTCTCAAAAAGAAAAGAAAAGAAAAATTAGCTGGGCATGGTGGGACGCGCCTGTAGTCCCAGCTACTCGGGAGGCTGAGGCAGGAGAATTGCTTGAACCCAGGAGGCAGAGGCCAAGATCATGCCACTGCACTCCAGTCTGGGTAAAAAGAGCGAAACTCCATCTCAAAAAAAAAAAAAAAAAAAAAAAAATAGAAAGAAAAAAAGAATAAGATTACAAAGAAATTTTTTTTCTTTTTTGTTATGGAGTTTTGCTCTTGTAGCCCAGGTTGGGGTGCAATGGTGTGATCTCGGTTCACCACAACCTCTGCCTCCTGGGTTCAAGAGATTCTCCTGCCTCAGCCTTTCTAGTAGCTGGGATTACAGGCATATGCCAGCATGCCTGGCTAATTTTGTATACAAATTTCACTTTCTAAAATATGTAGTGTCTGAAATGCTTACTAAAATCATGTACTGTTCTGTAAGTAGAAGGGGAAAAAATGGTGTGTTTTTTTTTGTTTTTGAGAGTTTCCCTCTTTTGCCTAGGCTGGAGTGAAATCATGGGATCTCAGCTTACTGCAACCTATGCTTCTTGGGTTCAAGCAGTTCTCCTGCCTCAGACTCCGGAGTAGCTGGGATTATAGGCACATGCCACCATGCCCAGCTAATTTTTGTATATTTAGTAGAAACGGGGTTTCACCATGTTGATCTAGGTTAGGCTAGTCTCAAATTCCTGACCTCAGGTGATCCACTCGCCTTAGCCTCCCAAAGTGCTGGGATTACAAGCGTGAGCCACTGTCAGGCCCAAAAATGTTTTAAAGAAAGAAAAATTTTGCCAAGACTTTTAAGCTCAGAGAACTGTGAGAAGATAATGTCATTTACAGAAATAGGGATCACAGAAGGAAGTCATTAAATGAAGATGGAAATCTCCAATTTGTTTGTACTAAGTCTAAAATGTTCACAGAACATTATGAAGGCATTGGCTGGAAGGCAGTTATATATATAACTAGAACTTGGAAGACAGGGTATAGTACAGGTTTAATAAACAGCCTCATATAATAAGAACAAATCTTAACGTGTGTAATGGATTATATTGTTTACTAAAAACAATGGCAAAAAAACACCAAGCCGTCCTCATGCAAAAAACTGCTCAGGGTGTTCTAAAATAGTAAACTATATACAGGACATGCACTAATTAAACCAGTTCTTTAAACACAAAATGAGTAACTTAGCCCCCGTTGGTCCCTAGTAAAAAATGCTTTCTAGTTTGTCTTTAATTAGCAGTAAACAAGCACTAGCTGCCTGCCTAGTTTATCTTTATTCTATAAAAAACCAGAAAACACCTGCTCATTAAAAATAATCACTTATTCACAAAAAAATATATATGTGGGTCAAAGTATGCTCTGGGCTCAGTTCAAAATGCTGTTAGCCCCCTAATTCCTACTTTGCACTCTATCTTTATGTCTAACTCTTAATTCCTTCAGTGCTGCCTGGGTAGGGATCTCCACAACCAAGCTAGTCTCAGCACACATGGGTGATAGGTGAAGCCAATGACTGTCCAAGGAGAAAAAAGAGGATCAAACCAAATTTGCAGCTCTGGGGAAAACCTGCCTTAAGGAGAAGAGAAAGGAATCAGCAGGGCGTGGTGACTCATGCCTGTACTCCCAACACTTCAGGAGGCCAAGGTGGGTGGATCATGAGGTCAGGAGATATATAGTAGAGATGGTAACCCCGTCTCTACTAAAAATACAAAAAATTAGCCAGGAATGGTGGTGTACGCCAGTAGTCCCAGCTACTTGGGAGGCTGAGAGGAGAACTGCTTGAACCCAGGAGGCAGAGGTTGCAGTGAGACAAGCTCACGCCACTGCACTCCAGCCTGGGTGACAGAGTCTAAGAAAGACTATGTAAAAAGTCTCTGTTTAAAAAAAAAAGAAAAGAAAAGAAAGAAATCAGAGGCGGCAGCAAGAGGGAGGTCCGGGTGAGGGGGACAGAAATTCTGAACTGATTCAGGAAAGGGACCACTGGAACAGCCATTGTCTTCAGATAGTGGCTTTACACTTATACAAGGAAAGCCTTGTCTGGGCTAGTGGTGCTCTTGACCTTGAACTGCACAAAGTGAGCACTCAATAACATTAGTGATTAGAAGTCACTGCTGTTTGTAGTCCTTAGCGTGGATGTCATCCTTGTGCTCTATGCACTATTAGTCCCTTGAAGGCATGGTCTGGGTTTAACCTCCAACTTACCCCAAGCCTCAAACTTACAGCACCTTATACACAGCAGAGGTATCCTAACCTTTTTTTTTTTTTTTTTTTAAAAAGATGGGGTTTCACCATGATGGCCAGGCTGGTCTTGAACTCCTGACCTCAGGTTATCCACCCACCTCAGCCTCCCAAAGTGCTAAGATTACAGGCGTAAACCACCGGTTTTTTTGAGACAGAGTCTCGTTCTGTCGCCCAGGCTGGAGTACAGTGGTGCAATCTTAGTTGCCTGCAACCTCTGTCTACCAGGTTCAAGTGATTCTCCTGCCTCAGCCTCCCAACTAGGTGGTATTACAGGCATGTGCCACCACACCCAGCTAATTTTTTTGTATTAGTAGAGATGGGGTTTCATCATGTTGGCGAAGCTAGTCTTGAACTCCTGACCTCAGGTGATCCACCCACCTCAGCCTCCCAAAGTGCTGGGATTACAAGTATGAGCCACCACATCCAGCCTCCTAACTCTTTAATGGCTAGATTCTTGTCAGCAAGACAGATCCAAAAAAGAAAGGAAACATGGAACACATCCCTAAGCTCTCTTCTATGAAGCTTTACTTTTCAGGCCATATGAACCTGTAGTGAAATAAAAGGGCTTTCCTATTCATTTCATCCCCAGGAACTGAAATTACTATCAGATTCCTTCCTGATTTATACTCTCATTGTATCTAGCCAATATTTAAGTCTCATCACAGCAACCTTTTCCTTTTGTCCTATCTGATCTATAACCTCTCCATGATCAAGCCCTTCATAAATCTCTTTATAATATCAATGTTGCTTGGTTTCAGCTTTCTAATATGATCAGTCCTTCACTTGTCTCTATTAGAAGACATGCTGGATAACCCTGAGCTTAATTATTACTCAGTGTTAATAATAATTGACACAGGTGCTCGCTTCGGCAGCACATATACTAAAATTGGAACGATACAGAGAAGATTAGCATGGCCCCTGCGCAAGGATGACACGCAAATTCGTGAAGCGTTCCATATTTTTAACACTGGGGTCTATTGGGGGGAAAAGGGGAGGGCCAGTGGGAGGGGGAGGTGAAGAGGGATAGCCTGGGGAGAAATGCCAAATGTGGGTGAAGGGGAGAAGAAAAGCAAAGCACACTGCCATGTGTGTACCTATGCAACTGTCTTGCATGCTCTGCTCATGTACCCCAAAACCTATAATCCAATAAAAAATTAAAAAAAAAAAATAAAATAAAAATAAAAAAAATAATAATAATTGACACAGTAAGATCCATTAGTTTAAAATTTTATTAAATAAAAATTTCAAGTAATTAATTTTAAAAAAACATGAGGTAGAAACAAAAATTTTAACATATTTAACATTCATTAAAAAAAAACCCTCAAGAGAAATGGAAGATTTCCAAACCCCAGAAGAATGTTACCCCAAAAATCTGTGGTAACAGATTTTAACAAATGTTAAAATCTTTAACAAAGGTTCAAATCTGTTACCATATAATTAATCACCTAGAGGCAATTTTGTTTTACAAAACATCTTTACACAGAAAGGGAAAACTGAGTGATGTCCCCAAACATAGGGGCATATGAACATAAGTGAAAATAGGAATATACGTTTAAGATTTATCAATTCCGAAAACAAAATTTGTTCTCAAAAGACAATGTAAGAATTATTATTTTGAAAATGTCAAAGTCTACTTTAGAGGCCAGACGCGTTGGTTCAAGCCTGTAATCCCAGCACTTTGGGAGACTGAGGCAGGCAAATCACTTGAGGTCAGGAGATAAAGACCATCCCGGCCAACATGGTGAAACCACATCTCTACTAAAAATACAAAATACACCATACTCGGTGGTGTACGCCTATAATCCCAGCTACTTGGGAGGCTAAGGCAGGAGAACTGCTTGAACCCGGGAGGCAGAGATTGCAGTGAGCCAAGATCGCACCACTGCACTCCAGTCTGGCGACACAGTGAGACTGCATCTCAAAATTTAAAAAAAATCTCCTCTAGAATATGGAATACTGAAAATAAAAAGGGGGATAGTAAGGGAGGATAGGAAATTAACTGGAAGTAATAAATTCATGTCATAACTTAAAAGACTAGGTTTAGAGTGAAAATACATCTGATACCAGAAAAAAATTCTAACAAAACGTCTTTTGGATTAGGGACCTCAAAATACAGAAAAGACTCACACCTATGTTCTCATCGTCACAAGACTGTGCTTCAATGATAAAAAAAAAATCAAATCCATTTATCCGGTCTTTCAAATAAAGTTCTTACAATAATATCTACGAAATCAAATTAGTCCTGAAATGTCTGACTTAAAAGTTTAAAGCTCAGAGTCTAAAGTAATCCATCTTCAAAGCTGGTAAAAATTTATCAGACTCTCTAGGTCAGGCAAAAATGCAGGTATAGTACCCATAAATTCAGACTTTTCACAGTTTTGGGTATACCTCTGCTTAAAAACATAAATACTGCATTAAATTGTGTATGGTGATAGAATTTTCTGTTTAGGCACTAGCTAGAGGAGACACTGCTCTAGTATGAAAAGGCAAGGAAAATAGTGCTTTATTTTCTTTGAAAATCACCCAATATGTGGCAAAGACTTTCATGTTCTCTTGATGGAAGATCAATGATGTAAAACAAATTAAGGAAGAAATCTTTAGCACAATACAGAATGGCATACATATATGACATTATTATTTAACATTCTGTAATTTGGTTTACAGAACCACAAAAAAATAAGGATCTTTATGGCATTCTATGAATAACTATGACCTTAAGCAATAAGAGTTATTTATCTTAGCCTAAGAACTTTATACACATTTTTTAAAAATGATCTATTTTAAGGCCAGGTACACTAGATCACCTCATCTCTATTAAATATTTAAAACAAAATAGCCAGGTGTGGTGGTACATGCCTGTGGTCCCAACTATTATGAAGGCTAAGGTGGGAGGATTGATTCCAGGAGGTCAAGGCTGCAGTGAGCCATGATCCTGCCACTGCACTCCAGACTGAGTGAAGGAGTTAGGTACTATCTCTCGGGGAAAAAGAAAAGGCTGGGTTCGGTGGCTTACACCTGTAATTCCAGCACTTTGAGAGGAGGTGAGTGAATCACTTGAGCCCAGGAGTTCAAAACCAGCTTGGGCAACATGGTGAAACCCTGTCTTTACAAAAAAAATACAAAAATTAGCTGAGCATAGTGGCATGCACCTGTGGTCCCAGCTACTAGGGAGGCTGAGGTGGGAAGACCACTTGAGCCTAGGAGACTGAGGCTGCAGTCAGCTCTGATCATATCACTGTACTCCAGCCTGGGTGACAAAGCAAGGCCCTATATTGAGAAAAAAAAAATCTTAAAAATCATATATACAACAAGAAATAGCACTCCATTTTAATCTAATCATTTGTTCTGGATTTGAAAAAAGTTATAGGCCAGGGGCCATGGCTCATACCTGTAATCCCAGCACTTTGGGAGGCCTAGGCAGGAGGATCGTTTGAGCCCATGAGCTCGAGACCAGTTTAGGCAACATAGTGAGAGCTTTCATTTATACAAGTACATAAATACAACAGTGCAATCAAATGTGACCATATACAGAACAAAAAGGATATTAATTTTTCTGAGTTTAAATGATCAAGTAGCTTCTCCAAAGGAGGATAGCAGTTTAGTGAGGGCACGCACCCCAGGAGAATCAGTTTGTGTTTGGCTCTGGTTATAGCAACATTAAGACGTCGCCAATCTTTCAGGAGTTCACCAACCTGTAAGAAATATAATTTTCAATTATTCAAGTTCAAAGGAATGGTTAAATATATTATAACACATCCCTATACAATAGACAACTTTGCAAATTAAAGAATAGAATGAGGCCAGGCGTGGTGGCTCACACCTGTAATCCCAGCACTTTGGGAAGCCAAGGCAGAAGGATCACTGGAGACCAGAAGTTCAAGACCAGCCTGGGCAACACAGCGAGACCCCATTTCTACAAAATGTATAAAAATTAGCCAGACATGGTAGTGTGCACCTGTGGTTACAGCTACTCAGGAGGCTGAGATGGAGAATCACTGAGCCAGGGCTGCCTAAGCCTAGGAAGTCAAGGATGCAGTGGGCCATAACCATGCCTCTACACTCCAGCCTGGGTGACAGAGGGAAACTACCTCAAAATAAATAAATAAATAAATAAAAGGAGACTATCTGAGGTAAGAACTGAGTAGATGAGGGATGGACTACAAAGGAAACCTTTTATTATGTATATTTATATATTTTTATTTATTTAAATTTTATCTTATTTTTTGAGACAGAGTCTCACTCTTGCTCAGGCTCGAGTGCAGTGGCATGATCTCGGCTTACTGAAACTTCCCCATCCTGGGTTCAAGTGATTCTTCTGGCTCAGCCTCCTGAGTAGCTGGGACTACAGGTGAGCACCACCACGCCTGATTAATTTTTGTATTTTTAGTAGAGACAGGATTTTACCATATTGGCTAAGCTGATCTCGAACTTGGGACCTCATGATCCACCAGCTGTCGGCCTCTTAAAGTGCTGGGATTACAGGTGTGAGCCACTACACCCGGCTATTATGTATATTTTCTTTTTGTTTTTGTTTGTTTTTTTAAGACAGGGTTTCACCATGTTGGTTAGGCTGATCTTGAACTCCTGACCTCAGGTGATCCACCCGCCTTAGCCTCCAAAGTGCTTGGATTACAGGCATGAGCCACCACGCCTGGCCTATTATGTATATTTTCAAACCGTATGGATGTATTATACAGTTGAGAAAAATGAACTAAGGAGAGGTAAAAATAAGAAAAACAAAAAAAACATTTAAGGAGACCGAGGCGGGAGGATTGCTTGAGCTCGGGAGTTGCCCACCAGCCTGGCCAATATGGTGAAATGTCATCTCTACAAAACATACAAAAATTAACTGGGTATGGTGGCACATGCCTGTAGTCCCAGCTACCCAGGAGGCTGAGATGGGAGGATCACTGAGCCAGGAAGGCGGATGTTACAGCGAGCCAAGATTGTGCATTGCACACCAGTCTGGGTGACAGATCCTGTCTCAAAAAGAACAAAAAACAAAAAAAACCCTGAATTATATATAAATTTGAAAGTATACAAGGAAGATGTTATATTTAAGAGGCCTCAAATACAACAGCCAAGGGGCGGAAGCAACCATTCCGTCTGACAGATAAATGGATAAATAAAAAATGTGGTATATAGAGACAATGGAATATTATTCAGTCTTAAAAAGGAAGGAAATCCTGTCACATGCTAAAACAGGATAATCTAGCGGGCAAACTGAAATAAGCTAGTCACTAAAAGATAAATACTGTACGATTCTACTTATATGAGGTACTTAGTCAAATTCAGAGACAGAAAGTAGAATGGTGATTACAGGGCTGGGGAAGAGGGAAGTGGGTGGTTACTCATGAATACAGAGTTGTAGATTTCAAAATGAAAAAGCTCCGGAGATCCACTGAACAACACTGTGAATGTATTTAACACTATCAAACTATACACTTAAAATGGTAAGATGTGGCTGGGCGCAGTGGCTCACACCTGTAATCCCAGCACTTTGGGAGGCCAAGACAGGCAGATAATGAGGTCAGGAGATAAAGACCATCCTGGTTAACATGGTGAAACCCTGTTTCTACTAAAAATATTTTTAAAAATTAGCCCAGTATGGTGGCACATGCCTGTAGTCCCTGCTACTCAGGAGGCTAAGGCGGGAGAATCGCTTGAACCTGGGAAGCAGAGGTTGCAGTAAGCTGAGATTGCGTCACTGCACTCCAGCCTGGGTGACAGAGCAAGACTCCATAAAAAAAAAAAAAAAAAAAAAGGGCTGGGCACAGTGGCTCACACCTATAATACCAGCACTCCAGCGCTTTGGGAGACCAAGACAGTTGGATCACCTGAGGTCAGGAGTTTGAGACCAGCCTGACCAGCATGATAAAACCCCATCTCTTCTAAAAATACAAAATTAGCCAGGTGTGCTGGCAGGCACCTGCGACCCAGCTACTCAGGAGGCTGAGGCAGGAGAATGGCCTGAACCCGGGAGGTGGAGGTTGCATTGAGCCAAGATGGCACCATTGCACTGTAGCTTGGGCAACAAGAGTACAACTCCGTCTCAAAAAAAGAAAAAAAAGTAAGATATTTTCTTTCTGTGCTGGTAGCACTTACGCAAACATGGTGAACATTCCTAAAACCCACCGGACTTTCTGTAAGAGTGGCAAGCACCAACCCCACAAAGTGACACAGTACAAGATGGGCAAGGATTCTCTGTATGCCCAGGGAAAGCAGTGTTATGACAGGAAGCAGTGGCTATGGTGGGCAAAACTAAGCCAATTTTCCGGAAAAAGGCTAAAACTACAAAGAAGATTGTGCTAAGGCTTGAGTGCATCGAGCCCAACTGCAGATCTAAGAGAATGCTGGCTATTAAAAGATGTAAGCATTTTGAACTGGGAGGAGATAAGAGAAAGGGCCAAGTGATCCAGTTCTAAGTGTCATCTTTTCTTTTACGAAGACAATAAAATCTTGAGTTTATGTTAAAAAAAATGGAATACATTGCAGAATGTGCAGTGTTGTTACATAAGTATAAATGTGCCATGGTGGTTTGCTGCACCTATTGACCTGTCTTCTAAGTTCCCTCCCCTCACCACCCTAACGGGCCATGGTGTATGCAGTTCCCCTCTCTGTGTCCATGTGTTCTCAATGTTAAACCATATATATATATTTTCTGAGACAGAGTCTCACTCTGCCACTCAGGCTGGAGTGCAATGGCGCGATCTCGGCTTACTGCAACCTCTGCCTCCCAGGTTCAAGCAAGTCGCCTACCTCAGCCTACCAAATAGCTGGGATTATAGGCGCCTGCCACCACACCCGACTAACTTTTTGTATTTTCAGTAGAAACAGGGTTTTGCCGCATTGGCCAGGCTGGTCTTAAATTCCTGACCTCAGGCGATCCACTTGCCTTGGCCTCCCAAAGTGCTGGGATGACAGGCATGAGCCACCGTGCACAGCCACACAATTTTTGAAAGAGAAATGCCCCAAATGAATCAGTAGCAAACATAATTAACTTACAGTTCCATCCTTATTACTTCTAACAAAAGATACTAGGACAATACTTTTGTCTCTTCCTTGGTATTTGTCTACTGTATTAACTTCGACCATCCCAACAGAAGAATGTGCCAATAAATCATTGATGATCTTTAACTGCTGCCTATATGGTGCAATAATACCAATATCAGAGGGATTGCATCCAGCCTACATAGAAAAATATACAATTTAAAACAAAGAAATCTTGATGAAGTTAAACATTTCTGAATTTAATACTTAAACATTTCCATTATGTGCCCAACTGATGTTTATAACAGATTTTCCTATCTCAAAGACTGAATACAATTCCTGAATTTGCTCTAAATCTGTCCATGTTTCTCATGATGAAATAATTCCTTAGACATTGCTCCCTTAATTTTTAGAGTCTCATGGCCAAGTAATGGTTTATATGCCACTAAAACAGTGCTCACACACATACACACAACAGTACAAATAAATACATTTCATCTTTTGCTATTTCTTTACAGAAAAGTTTCCAATCCCCCATCACTACATCACAGTATTGACTCAATTAGAATTAGCTCACATTACAAAAAGTTATTATCCTAAATGAAAATTCCAAATGTCATTATAAAATATTACATGGCTTAGATACATTTCTTTCTTTCTTTCTTTTTTTTTTTTTACACATTTCTACCATCAGAGGAAGCTGAGATACATTTCTTAAAATAAAAACAACCAGGCTTCAATCCCCTTATCTTAAAGGAGAGCTGCCAAGATTATAACCTTCTTAGAGTCTAATATTCTATTACTCTCTGCACTTTAATATTTGTTAGCCTTGAAAAATCTAAATTACCTTAATAAAAATGGAGGTTAGAAAAACTATGAGTTTGGCTTCTGTTATATTGCTCACACCACCTTTTTCAACTTGCTCTGGTGCTGGAACCTAAGTAGAAAAATATACAGCTTGCTGATAATGCAATAAAGGAAAGAGTACTCTAAGTACGTAAGTGGCCATAAAGACTGTACTACCAATTTGGAGATGAAAAATACCTTTGTCTAAAGATGAAGGTGAAAGAATCAACAAAAATGAATTATATTAATATTAGTCACTTTCAGAAAGCCAAGCAGAGACCACCTAGCTTAAACATCCTACGATTGAGGCTAAAATACCTACAAAAGCTGATCACACACTGAGCTTTATATACTTTACTTTGTCATCCCCCATTTTACAGGAATCAAAGGTAGAAAAGAATAAGTAACTTGCCCAAGGCCTCACAATAAACTGTGGCACTAGTATTCAAACTTAGATCTGGGTCTCATTATCTGTGCTCTTTCCGTTTTCTTGTCCCCTTTTATACAAATAATGGAGGGGCTCACGCCTATAATCCCAGCACTTTGGGAGGCCGAGGTGGGTGGATCACGGGGTCAAGAGATCGAGACCATCCTGGTCAACAAGGTGAAACCCCATCCCTACTAAAAATACAAAAATTAGCTGGCCACGGTGGTGCACGCCTGTAGTCCCAGCTACTCGGGAGGCTGAGGCAGAAGAATTGCTTGAACCCAGGAGGTTGAGGTTGCGGGGAGCTGAGATCATGCCATTGCACTCCAGTCTGGGTAACAACAGCGAAGCTCCGTCTCAAAAAAAAAAAAACAACAAATAATGGAGCAGATAAAACTGCTGCCATACCTGATACATCTCTTCAAATACTACTTTCCTCCTACATCATCCCTAAGCAACCTTGATTATTTTTAATGCAATTTACTTGGAATCCTGACGGTAAAAAAGAGAAAACCCAAGTAGCAAAAATAAAGAATCTGAGCAATCATTGGTGAAGTAAATAAATAAAACTTACAATAAATAAGCTAGAATCCTAGTTTATAAAAGCAGTCATTTGTGAAATCAGTTTATCTGAATCGTTTTCCAAAGTCTGCCTGCCTCTAGGTGTTAAGATACAATAAAATTCTTCAACCCAAGTTGCTAAGGGCAGTATCTATGAGATGAAAACTCCATCACAGACATGTAGCAGAGCTAGCTCCATCCATCTTAATAACAGGAGACAATGATTTTAGAATAATATGCTCATATAATTGGTTGCTATATTCTTATTTTATTTTCTTGAGACAGGGCCTTGCTGTTATCCAAGCTGGATTGCAGTAGTATAATCACAGCTCACAGCAGCTTTGACAACTGGAATTAAGCAATCCTCCTATTCAGTCTCCTAAGTAGCTAGGACTGCAGGTACACACTGCCATGCCCAGGTAATTTTTTTTTTTTTTTTGAGACAGAGTCTTGCTCAGTCACTCAGGCTGCAGTGCAGTGGCATGATCTTGGCTCACTGCAACCTCCACCTCCTAGGTTCAAGAGATTCTGCTGCCTCAGCCTCCTAAGTAGTTGAGGCTACAGGTAAGCACCACCATACCCGGCTAGTATTTTTTTGTATTTTTAGCAGAGATGGAGTTTCACCATGTTGGTCGGGCTGGTCTTGAACTCCTAGACTCAAATGATGATTTGCCCACCACGGTCTCCTAAAGTGCTGGGATTACAGGCGTGAGCCACCATGCCCAGCCACACCAAGATAATTTTTTAAATATATATATATTTTTTTGCAAACAAGTTCTCACTAGATTGCCCAGGCTGAACTTCAACTCCCGGCTTCAAGTGATCCTTCTGCCTCGGCGTCCCAAAGTGCTAGGATTATAGGCATGAGTCACCACGTCCAGAAGATCACCATATTTTTATTTGAACTTAAGTAAAGGCTTCCAACTCAATGCTAAGGAACACTACATAAAGCAAACTGTAGAAATATAGAGTCAAAACTTAATTCTTAGTTCTCAAAAATAAGCATCAAGCCATTTAAAGTCCTTGGGAAAGGCCAGGCGCAGTGGCTCGTGCCTGTAATCCCAACACTTGGGGAAGCCGGAAAGGGCATATCACTCGAGGCCAGGAGTTCTAGACCAGCCTGGCCAACATGGTGAAACCCATCTCTACTAAAAATACAAAATTAGCCAGGTGTGGTAGTGGGCACCTATAATCCTAGCTACTTGGGAGGCTGATGCAGGAGACTCGCTTGAATCTGGGAGGAGGAAGTTGCAGTGAGCCAAGATCACACCTCTGCACTCCAGCCTGGGTGACACAGTGAGACTCTGTCTCAAAAAAAAAAAATACATAAAGAAAGAAAAGGCTATTTTGGGTTCAAGTATAAGAAGTACATTAGTTTTGCCTTTTAACTGGTAAACTCTAAACAGGGCATATGCTAATGCAAACTGAGAAACTTAAATAATACGACAAAATAAGAAAAACTGAAGAGAAAATTTTTATTACCTTGTCTGTATTAAGAAAACAAACAGGATTGTTGGGTTCAAATACTCCCATCAGCCAAGGATTATCAGAATAGTCAACATAAAATTCCAGTTCCAGCTTCACATCTTTAAAGCGAGGTAGGTTTATCACTGCATTGGCCACTTTGTCGGATCCACACTCCAGCTTGCCCTCATAGGTCAGCTTATTACTTAAGGACATAATTTTACTAAGGGAATTACAACAGATCATTTTAGTTTTGGTACACGGAAACGAACATGAAAACCACTCCTGACTAACTGTTGCAAATACCTGTTCATTCTGTACTGCACGGTTAGCTGTACAACAGCATTCTTATTCTGCTCCAGCCTCTTGAATAAGCTTTCACTCATGCCAAGAGCTCTGTTAACAAATCAGATTCAGGTTTACCAGTGTACTAAATCTGTCCCTTAAAAAGAATCCGGTTTAAAATTAACACTTAAATGTCTGCCTACCTTGCTTCATGATTTAGCACCAGGGGAGGAAGTTGCTGATGGTCGCCCACTAACACAAATCTCCGTGAAAAAAAAAGGGGGCCCAGACAAATTGGTTGGCTAATTTGAGAGGCTTCATCCACAATACAAAAATCAAAAATTTTACGGGAAAATATTGGATGGTTTATTCCCATACATGTTGTTGCAACTATAAGCTAAAAACAAGGAAAACAAATCAGTTATTTAATATGTAAAAGAAATGTAGTGTTGTTTCTCTCATTTTTGAAATGAAAAGATCAGTAAAAGGTTTTTGTTCTATGGCATCAGGAATCCTTTGATATGATTTAATTCTGAAATATTTATAGCACGCAAATTTTTTTTCTATAAATTAAAAATAAGTAAATTTTCCAGACACTATGAACAATGCTCACATTTGGATATTTCCCAATGGAAATCTGAAACATTCAAGAGGCAATAAGTTAGTAAGTTTCTTTTGTTTTGTTTAGTGTCAACCAGGACATTACTTCTGGGAAGGAGTACTTTTCCTTATTCTTTCCACAAACAACAACTAAAATCCCTATGCATTATATATATAAAACAAACAAAAGAAGACTCTGAAAGGTGGAGAGAAGGCAGACCAGCTAGGGAGCTCAAGACCAAAGAAACAACACACTAGTTGATTCCCTGCGCTTTCGTATTGCCTCATAGATTCCAGATTTGGAACTGAGGGAGCCACAACCCAGGAACACCAATGGGTGCTGACTAAAAACAGCTTCAACCCAAGTCTCCTCTCTCTAGCTGAAGGAAAAGGAAAGGGAAAGCCTAGCAGACAGAAAACTTTCACACAATAATCACTCTAGCCAAATATCGCAGAAAAAAAAAGTACAGCCCCACTACCACAGACAGCAGCAAACATTGAGGAGGGTAGATCCCCACCCTTCTCAAGGCTAACAAGGTGCCCCATGCCCCACAGGCTGGTGTCAGAGAAAGCCAGGTAGGGGGGGTCAGGTCTTTCATCTGTGATGACTGGTAACTGGTACCAACCCCTAATGTTAATGGGGACCATATCGGGAGCCTAGACTTTCACCCCCATCCAGCACACCCCAGCGGTAATGAGGAGCCTCCACCCTGTCAAAGAAGACTGAGCGAGGAACCCACACTTCGACTCCCACCTTGCAGTAATGAGGTAGTACACCCTCTTCCCCTACTGAGGCAGTGTGAAAGGAAGCTGGCTAAAACAGAAGTTTTCAATAAAAATAAAATATGCTCATGTTTCAATTAAAAATCAATCATAAGAACCAGGAAAATCTCAAACTCAATGAAAAAGATGACAATCTATAAATACCAACACCACAAATGACAGAGATTTTAGAACTATCTGATCAAGATTTTAAAGCAGCCATGGTAACAACATTTTAATGAGTGATTATGAACACACTTGAATCAAATGAACAAAAAGCAAAGTCTCAGCGAAGAAATAGAAAAAAACAGGATAACTAGGCTGGCTATGGCTCATGCCTGTAATCCCAACACTTTGGGAGGCCAAGGTGGGCAAATTGCTGGGGCTCAGGAGTTCGAGACTAGCCTGAGAAACATGGAGAAAACCTGTCTCTACAAAAAATACAAAAATAAGCTAAGCATGGTGGCATACACCCGTAGTCCCACCTACTTAGGGGTGCTGAGGCAGGAGGATCACTTGAGACCTGGAGGTCAAGGCTGCAGTGAGCCATGATCATGCCTCTGCACTCCAGCCTCGATGACAAAGTGAGACCTGTCTCAAAAAAAAAAAAAAACCACCAAAAAGCAAAATACCAGACTGGGCGTGGTGGCTCAAGAGGCCAAGGAGGGCAAATCACTTGAGGTCAGGAGTTTGAGACCAGTCTGGCTAACACAGTGAAATCCCATTTCTACTAAAAATATAAAAAATTAACCAGGCATGGTTGTACACGCCAGTAGTCCCAGCTACTTGGGAAACTGAGGCAAGTGGATCATGAGGTAGGAGTTTGAGATCAGCCTGGCCAATATGGTGAAACCCTGTCTCTACTAAAAATACAAAATTTAGCCAGGCATGGTGGTAGGTGCCTGTAATCCCAGAGACTTGGGAGGCTGAGGCAGGAGAATTGCTTGAACCCAGGAGGCAGAGGTTGCAGTGAGCCAAGATCATACCATTGCACTGCAACCTGGGCAGCAGAGCAAGACTCTGTCTCAAAAAAAAAAGAGAAAGAGAATCACTTGAACCTGGGAGGTAGATGTTACAGTGAGCCAAGATCATGCCACTGCACTCCAGCCTAAGTGACAGAGGAAGATGCTGTCTCAAAAAGAGAAAACCCCTGGCCGTGGTGGCTCACGCCTGTAATCCCAGCACTTTGGGAGGCTGATGGGCTAGGCACAGTTCTTAGACTTGAGACCACAAGTATAATCTACAAAAGAAAAAAGTTTATATACTGGACTTCCTCAAAAAAACCTTTTGCAGCTGGGTGCAGTGGCTCACGCCTGTAATCCCAGCACTTTGGGAGGCTGAGGTGCGCAGATCACCTGAGGTCAGGAGTTTCAGACCAGCCTGGCCAATACAGTGAAACCCCATATCTACTAAAAATACACAAATTAGCTGGGCATGGTAGCTTGTGCCTGTAGTTTCAGCTACATGGGAGGCTGAGGCAGGAGAATCACTTGAACCTGGAAGGCAGAGGTTGCAGTGAATGGAGATCACACCACTGTACTCCAGCCTGGGCGACACAATGAGAGTCTGTCTCAAAAAAAAGAAAAACAAACACCTTTTGCTCTGCATAAGACCCTGTGAGGAGGATAAAAAGCAAGTGATAGAGTGAGAGAAAAAAGCTGCAACCACATATCCATTAAAGGGCTGGTAGTAGAATACACATTTTAAAAATTCTCAAAACTCAACACTACAAAGCATATAATCCAAAATGAGCAAAGGACATGAAGAAGATATACAGATGACAAGCTCATGAAAATGTCATTATGAACCGAGTGTGGTAGCTCAAGTATGTAATCCTAGCACTTTAGGAGTCTGAGGGGTGGATCACCTGAGGTCAAGAATTCTAGACCAGCCTGGTCAACATGGTGAATCCCCAACTCTATTGAAAAAAATGCAAAATTAGCTGGATATGGTGGTGCATGTCTGTAATCCCAGCTACGTGGGAGGTTGAGGCAAGAGAATCACTTGAATCTAGGAGACAGAGGTTGCAGTGAGCCAAGTTTGAGCCACTGCACTCCAGCCTGTGCAATAACTGCAAAACTCCATCTCGAAAACAAAACAAAACAAAACAAACACCTCATTATGACTGGATGCAGTGACTCACACCTGTAATCTCGACACTTTGGGAGGCAGACAGAGGTAGGAGGATCACTTGAGGCCAGGAGTTCAAGACCAGCCTGGACAACATAAAGAAAAATTTTAAATATTAGGCAGGCATGGTGGTACATGCCTGTAGTTCCAGCTACTCGGGAGGCTGAGGCAGGAAGCTCACTTGAGCCCAGGAGGTCAGGGCTGCAGTGAGCCATGGTCTTACCAGTGTACTCCAGCCTGGGAAACATAGCAAGACCCTGTCCCAAACACACACACACACCCATGTGTACACATATACACACACATGAACACACACAAACATCATTAACTACTGAGTAAATGTAAATTAAAATCTTCAAACACCTATCAAAAGGGCTAAATTTAAACACAGCATCACCACCAAATGTTGAGATCGCTCATGTGGTGGGAATGTAAAATGTTCCTGCTTAGAAAAACAGTTTAGCAGATTAAAAAAAAAATGAACATGAAACTACCAATTGATCCAGAAATTGTACTACTGGGCATTTATCCCAGAGAAATGAAAACTTATGTCACACGAAAACCTGTAACATGAATGTTTATGGCAGCTTTATTCATAATATCCAAAAACTGGAAACAACCCAAATTTTCAGAGGGTGAATAGTTAAACACAATGCAGCACATCCATGCTATGGAAAAATACTTGGCAAAAAAAAGGAATGAACAATTAACATATACAACTATCTGGAGGAAGCTCTGAGAATCAGGCTGAGTGAAAAACACTAATCCCAAAAGATTTACGTAACATTCTTAAACAACCAAACTATCAAAATGGAGATCAGAGTCATGGCTATCAGAGGTTAAGGAGGGGTAAGGCAGGAGAGAAGTGGATACAACTACAAAAGTGCAACATGAGTAATCTCGTAGTAATAGAATAGGAACTGTAGGCCGGTGCAGTGGCTCATGCCTGTAATCCCAGCACTTTGGGAGGCCGAGGCAGGCAAATCACCTGAGGTCAGGAGTTCGAGACCAGCCTGACCAACATGGAGAAACCCTGTCTCTACTAAAAATACAAAATTAGCCAGGCATGGTGGTGCATGCCCGTAATCCCAGCTACTTGGGAGGCTGAGGCAGGAGAATTGCTTGAACCTGGGAGGTGAAGGTTGCTGTGAGCCGAGATCACGCCATTGTACTCCAGCCTGGGCAACAAGAGCGAAACTCCATCTCAAAAAAAAAAAAAAATAGGAACTGTATCAGGCTGGGGCGGTGGGTCATGTCTGTAATCCTTTGGGAGGCTGAGGTGGGTAGATCACAAGGTCAGGAGTTGGAGACCAGCCTGGCCAACATGGCGAAACTCTATCTCTACTAAAAATACAAAAATGAGCTGGTCGTGGTGGCGCGCACCTATAATTCCAGCTACTTGGGAGGCTGAGGCAGGAGAATCGCTTGAATCCAGGAGGCAGAGGCTGCAGTGAGCTGAGACTATGCCATTGCACTTCAGCCTGGGTGACAATATCAAGATTCCAGCTCAAAAAAAAAAAAGCGATTGTATCAATGTCAACATCCTGGTTGTGACATTGTACTACAGATATGCAAGGTGTCACCACTGGATAAACGGTGGTTTATAGGCTCTTGCTAGTATTTCTTACAACTGCATGTGAATGTACAATTACCTCAAAATAAAATGTTTAATGAAAATGTTAACCAGATAGACATCTTAGCCAGTTCTAAATTTATCAATAACAGGCATAGATTTAGACAAAAATATGCTAGCATTCGACAAAGGAGGTTAAGGAATAACCTATTAAATCTAATTTTGGGGAAATTTTTAAAACACAAAAATATCAGTTAAGCCAGGCACTATAGCCGAACTTATAGTCCCAGCTACTTGGGGATCTGAGGTGGAAGGCTTGCTTGGGCCCAGGAGTCCAGCCCAAGTCCTACACAACATACTAATACCCTGGTCACTTAAAAAAAAACATCAGGCTGGGTACAGTGGCTCATGCCTGTAATCCCAGCACTTTGAGAGGGCAAGGCAGGTGGATCATGAGGTCAGGAGTTCAAGACCAGCCTGGCAAAGATAATGAAACCCCATCTCCATTAAAAATACATAAATTAGCTGGGTGTGGTGGCAGGCTCCTGTAATCCCAGCTAGTCAGGATGCTGAGGCAGAGAATCACTTGAACCCAGGAGGCAGAGGTTGCAGTGAGCTGAGATCATACCACTGCACTCTAGCCTAGGTGACAGAGTAAGACGCCGTCTCGGAAAAAAAAACTCAGTTAGGAATTCTCAGTAAAAATAAACATTAAATGACTAAATAAAATAAAAATTAGGTTCCATATAAAAGTCTAGAGACAGTTATAACAAGTCTATTAAGTACTATTGCTTCTAGTTCAAACTCACTAAGAAACCCTGATTATTAGTAGTTTTCTAGGATGTTTGAAACTAGAAGAGAGCCCTAAATAATAAACTGATCTTACCTGAGAGTCTAGATGAGAAAAAAAAAGAAAATGATGATGATAATAATAATAATAAAAATAAACTAAAAACCTCATTTCAGTTCAGAAGGAAACAGCAAAATATAAGTTAATAAACTGGTCCTATGGTACATATAATCACATGCAAATCCAGTCAATGTGACTCAGTTTCCCAGAGTACTGTTTCTCCCTTCATTCCGGCTATGGAAATTAACTGTTCGTATAATTATACAATAATTGTGCTTACTTGACTATTGTAGAGTTCTTCTAGAAGAGCTAAGGATTTAATGGACTTTGATTGGCAAACTTCTTGCTCTGTAAATTTCTGGATAGCTGGATGAACCTTCTGAGTCTGACCCAAACGCAAAAATCCTATTTTAAACTTGGCTAACTTCAAAAGAATGTTGTCAACAGCAGAGTGTGTGTAGCTGGTCAACAAAACGCTAAAACCACAGGCGTAGAGAATTCTTACCTAATAATGGGCAAGAGAAAAAAAAAAAGCCTTACTTTTAATTCCAGATAATTCTTAACATGCTTATAAACGTAACAAGAACCATGTCTATGAGCTGAGCCAAGTAACTTTTTAAAAAAATTATAAAGCCAAAATATTTTACAAAAATTACATGACATTATTATATATTATGAATGATATGTCAATAATACATCATAGGCCAGGCATGGTGGCTCACGCTTGTAATCCGAGCACTTTGGTAGGCTGAAGCAAGCAGATCACTTGAGCCAAGGAATTCAAGACTGGCCTGGGCAACAAAGTGAGGCCCTATCTCTATTTTTTAAAAATTATTTTTGGCCGGGCGCGGTGGCTCATGCCTGTAATCCCAGCACTTTGGGAGGCCGAGGCGAGTGGATCACGAGGTCAAGAGATCGAGACTATCCTGGTCAACATGGTGAAACCCCATCTCAACTAAAAATACAGAAAATTAGCTGGGCGTGGTGGCACATGCCTGTAATCCCAGCTATTCAGGAGGCTGAGGCAGGAGAACTGCCTGAACCCAGGAGGTGGAGGTTGCGGTGAGCCGAGATTGCGCCATTGTACTCCAGCCTGGCTAACAAGAGCGAAACTCCGTCTCAAAAAAAAAAAAAATTATTTTTGTAATTAGGCAAGATAGTAGTGCACCCCTGTGGTCTCAGCTACTTGGGAGGCTCAGGCATGAGGACTGTTTCAGCCCAGGAGGTTGAGGCTGCATGAGCAGTGATCATGCTACTGCATTCCAACTTGGTCTCAAACACCAGTCCTTCCACCTCAGACTCCCATAGTGCTAGGATTACAGGCATGATCCACCTTGCCTGGCCCATGTAACTTTTAATAGTGTCTGGCACACAGTATCAATCAATTAAATATTTGCTGCCATTATTATGATTATTCTAAAACTGCTTAGAAATTTACTGACATGAAAAAAAATCCAAGAAAAATCGATAACATCATTTTTAAAGGGAAAGGAAAACATACAGCGATATACATCACATACCACTAACGGAAAGAGATCTTAGGAAATTCTAAATTTAGAATCTTAGATAGATCTTAGGAAGTCTACAACATGATTACAACTGCTGTAATGCAGCTTTACTATTTCTCACGTCATTCGAAAATGTTCATTTGAAACAAAGACACTCTGAATTAAAATTCAGCCATTTGATGTTAAATATTACATCCTCTGAACTGAAGAGAAGCTGATATAAACATTTAGTTTCTAAGCAGAAGAATAATAACCTTACGAGAGTACATATCGTAGTTGTTTTTCCCGTCCCAGGCATACCCACGATGAGTGTGTAGTCTTTTGAAAGAAGCACCTTTTTCATTGCTTGCCTCTGAGGCTTATTCAAACCTACATTTAAATTAAAAAATAACAGGAAAAAAAGCATTGAACGTCAAAGGAAAAATTAATTATTTTATAAGAATAGTAGTCTCTATCCAAGTCTATTCCTCAATACAAAACTATTTCCAAAGAGTCTTGACTAAACGTTGTAATTGCAAGTCTACTCAAGGTATCAGGCTACAGTATAAATCAAATAAAAACAAGAAAAACTCATCAAAGCAGACACGGTGATTTTAGCATACCCTTTAGAATGCAGGCAACTGTATCCTTTGCATCATGTGGAAGAACAGAACTAAGGTAGGATATAAAATGAGGTTCACGAAAGTCAATAATTAAATCTCGAAGCTTTTTGCTGAAAAGAGAAAAAGCACTTTTAGTAATATTCCTTAGAAAAGTGGAATGAAATTCAAATTCATTCACTGTTAACAAACCTGATAAATGTGTCTTCCATCAATTTAGAAAGATTTCCTAATGGGGTATCTATATCACAATTTTTTTCTTCCTGGTCTAATCTAAACAAAGTTGATTCTGGAAGGACCGACAAGTTCCTAAAAGAGCAAAACAAATATACATGAATGTTTTCCATTTCACATAGCCTGTATAAGAAATACACTACTATCTGCTGAAGGAATAAATAGGCCAGAATAGCTACTAAAATAGCTATCAGCCCTCAGTCACACTTGCCAATCAAGGACAGCATGAGGCCCTGGATTGGTGGGAAAAGGCAGGGAGAAGGGGAGAGTACAAGGCACCAAGGTCAAAGCAATTAATAATTGAGAACCTGCAACATTTGCTAAATATTCACTTTTTTTTTTTTTTTTTGAGATGGAGTTTCGCTGTTGTTACCCAGACTGGAGTGCAATGGCACAATCTCAGCTCGCCGCAACCTCCGCCTCCTGGGTTCAACAATTCTCCTGCCTCAGCCTCCCGAGTAGCTGGGACTACAGGCGCGCACCACCACGCCCAGCTAATTTTTGTATTTTTAGTAGAGACGGGGCTTCACCTCATTGACCAGGATGGTCTCGATCTCTCGACCTCATGATCCACCCGCCTCGGCTTCCCAAAGTGCTGAAATTATAGGCATGAGTCACCGCACCCGGCCGCTAAATATTCACTTAACCTTGCAATCTAACATGGGCTCACTATCCCCAGAGAGATCCTGAATGCATGCATGGCTCTTCCCTCCTCTCCTGGAGTGCAGGATTCTTTTCTGCCACCTTCTCCCACTCTTCTATCTGTTCCTTAAGCCCTGGTGTTCCCTAAAGTCCCTTCTCTGGTTCGTTGTATTGCTCTTTCTGATTGTTTTTCCTAGGGTTCCCGGCCCTCATGTGCCTCCAAATTTGAATTCCATCTTTAGGACTGACCTCACACTCCTCTCCCACCTGGTTCCTCACCCAAGCCTACAAAGTTTGGATATCCAGCAGGCAGCGAGATCTCTCCACTTAGCTGAACCCAGGCTGTGAAAGCTCAGTACATTCAAAGTGAAACTCTTCCTCATCTCTGCTGAACCTGATGCTCTTTCTCTAGTCCTGATCATAGTTAATGGCATTTGCATCTGCACTACTGTCTTGATCCTTCCCTCTTCCCAACCCACATACCCAATCAGTATCCAAACGCCAGCCAGTTTTATTTTCTAAATACTTCTCAGTCATTCCATTCTCTCTGCCAATACTACTCTGCCTCAGTTGCCTCTGGCCTGGACCACTGCAACAGCTTCCTGGTTTGCTTTTAGTTTTGCTTTCATCAATTAACTCAATTCTCCACAACGTACACACAGGAAAATGCAAATTCAATGATTATCTACTCTTCTGTTTAAAACCTTTCAATACATCAGAATAAATAAAATCTAAACTTTTTTTTTTTGAGACAGTCTTACTCTTTTACCTAGGCTAGAGTGCAATGGCACGACCATGGCTCACTGTAGCCTTGAACTCCTGGCTCAAGTAATCATCTTACCCCAGTCTCCTGAGTATCTGGGACTACACGTGCACATCACCACACCTAGCCAATTTTTTAATATTTTGGAGAGATGGGGTCTCACTATGTGGCCCAGGATGGCAAACTTCTTAACATGGTATATAAGAGCTTCTATGACCTGATCTCTCTAATCACTCTCTTCCTTATATTTTATATTCCAGAAATAACTTAATTACTTGCACTTTCCCAAATGCTTCATGTCACACTGAATCACACCAGCATAACTTTGTGTAACAGGTTTGCCCAGTATTCTCTTCTCACACGGCTTCACCAGACTAATTTATTAATCCATAGGATGAAGATTCAGAATTAGCTCTTCCAAAAGGCTTCACTTGGCCAGCCACAGGGGCTCATGCCTGTAATCCCAACACTTTGGGAGGCTGAGGCAAGAGGATCGCTTGAGATCAGAAGTTTGAGACCAGTCTGGCCAACATGGTGATACCCTGTCTCTACTAAAAATATAAAAATCAGCCAGGCATGGTGGTGCATGCCTGTAATCCCAGCTACTCAGGAGGCTGAGGCAGGAGAATCACTTGAATCCGGGAGGCAGAAGCTGCAGTGAACTGAGATCATGCCACTGCACTCCAGCCTGGGAGATAGACTGAGACTCTGTCTCAAAAAAAAAAAAAAAAAAAAAAAAGCCTTCCTTGAGCCTCCTAAAATGGAATTAAATACCTCTCCTCTGTGTTACTATCAATTGAACACTTATCATACTGGAGTGAAAATAAGCTGGGTATGGTAACTCACACCTATAATCCCACCACTTCAGGAGGCCTAGGCAGGAGGACCACTTGAGCCTATGAGTTCAAGACCAGCCTGGGCAACATAGTGAGACCCCATCTCTACAAAAAGTTAAAAAATTAGCCAGGTGTGGTGGCATGTGCCTGTGGTCCCAGCTATGTAGGAGGCTGAGGCAGAAGAATTACTTGATCCCAAGAAGTCCAGGCTGCAGTGAGCTGTGATAATGCCACTGCACTCCAGCCTGGGTGGCAGTGAGAACATGTCTCAAAAAAAAAAAAAGGAAAGAAAATATTTATGTCTACACAAAAGACCATAAATTCTTCAAGGATTTGCAGAGTACCTAATACATAGTAGGCACTAAATAAATACTGCAAAGGATACACAAATCCGAGCAGACAACTAGAATATTGTGGATCAGCATCCCATATCATGAAATCCAGACAAGGGGTAGTTATGACTCAACTAAGATTACTGATCAGTAGGGAACAAGCCTAGACATTTCCATTACAGTTACTCAGATGTCACTAAGTCCCAATTGCTGACCTCTATCCATTAAGAAATGTTCGGGCATGCCTTTGTTAACTGCAAGAAAGGCTGCAAAACACAATCCAGCTGACTGAAAGAAGAGGGAATATGGATATTAGTGAATGTGGATATTGGTCTCTGACACAAATTTTCTTTCTTTCTTTTTTTTTTTTTTTCTTTAAGACGGGGTCTCATTCTGTCACTCAGGCTACATGCAGTGCAGAGGTATGATCTCAGCTCACTGCAGCCTCAACCTCCTGGGCTCAACTGATCCTCCCACCTCGGCCTCCTTAGTAGCTGGGACTACAGGCATGCACCACCATGCTCAGCTAATTTTTGTATTTTTGGCAGAGACGAAATTTTACTTATGTTGCCCAGGCAGGTCTCCAACTCCTGGGCTCAAGTGACCCACCCATCTCAGCCTCCCAATGTGCTAGGATTACAGGTGTGAGCCACCTTGCCTGCCAAGATTTTCATATCAACTATTCTACTATTAATAGTTTTATTTAAAGCAAGCACTTTGTTGTAACTGAAATTAAGTACATTTATATCACTGCTATAAATGGGAAAAGTAAAACTTTTTATTTAAAAAAGGAGAGAGGCTGGGCGCTGTGACTCACTCCTGTAATCCCAGCACTTTGGGAAGCCAAGGCAGGCAGATCACCTGAGGTCAGGAGTTGAAGAGCAGCCTAGCCAACACGGCAAAACCTGTCTCTACTAAAAACACAAAACATTAGCTGGGCATGGTGGCACGCGCCTTTAGTCCCAACTACTCAGGAGGCTGAGGCACAAGAATCGCTTGAACCCAGGTGGCGGAGGATGCAGTGAGCCAAGACTGGGTCACTGCACTCCAGCCTGACCAACAGGGTGAGACTCCATCTCTAAATAAATAAATAACTTTTTGTTTTTTTTTAAGATGGAATCTCACTCTGTAGCCCAGGTTGGAGTGCAGTGGCATGATCTTGGCTCACTGTAACCTCTGCCTCTCAGGTCCCAGTTCAAGCAATTCTTCTACCTTGGCCTCCCAAGTGGCTGGGATTACAGGCATGAGCCACTTAAATTTTTAGGTGGCTAAAAAATGCTCAGCTAATTTTTTTTGTATTTTTTAGTAAAGACGAGGTTTCACCATGTTGGCCAGTATGGTCTTGAGCTCCTGACCTCATGATCTGCCTGCCTCGACCTCCCAAAGTGCTGGGATTACAGGCGTGAGCCACCGCACCCAGCCAAATAAATAAATAAATAAGAAGAGAACAAAATAGTAAGTGCCCAGCATGCTAAGGAGAAATAAGGATTATAGCTAACACAGGGTGGTATCTATGCTGTCTGCTATACATGTGGTTTTGAGAATTAGGTAAGATTCTGTCCACATCAGCACTATGGAACATAACGTACTAAACAAAACTTTAGCAGTTTGGTAGTTCACCAAAATGTTAAATATGAAATTAGCACATGACCCATGCCTAGGTAACTACAAAGAAAATGAAAGAAATGAAACTATGGCCACCTAAAACTATGCATGTGAATGTTCATGCAATGTAATGCAATATTACTCATTACAGCAAAAAAGTGGAAACAACTCAAATGTCCATCAGCCAGCCAATGAATGGATGAACAAAATGTGGTCTATCCATACAACAGAATACATTCAGCCATAAAAAAATGAGGGTCTCATATATGCTGAAACGTGAATGAACCTTGCAAACATTAGGCTAAGTGAAAGAAGCCAGACACAAAAGGTCACATAATGAATGGTTCTACTTATATCATATATCCAGAATAGATGAATCCATACAGAAAGAAAGCCAATTAGTAGTTGCCAGGGAGTTGAGGGAGGAGAGAGGGGATAGGAATGACGTTTCCTTTTAGGGTGATAAACGTGTCTTAGAAATAGAGGGAAGTGATGGTTGCACAATATTGGGAATACACTAAACACCAATTATATACATTAAAATGGTTAATGATCAATTGTATGTTATATACTTTTTTTTTTTTTATTTTTTGAGACAGAGTTTTGCTCTTGTTGCCCAGGCTGGAGTGCAATGACATGATCTTGGCTCACTTCAATCTCCACTTCCCAGATTCAAGCAATTCTCCTGCCTCAGCCTCTTGAGTAGCTAGGATAGGGGGGTGGGGGCAGAAGCTCATTATCACTGGTCATTAGAGAAATGCAAATCAAAATCACATTGAGATACCATCTCACTCCAGTTAGAATGGCAATCGTTAAAAAATCAGGAGACAGCTGGGCATGGTGGCTCATGCCTGTAATCCCAGCACTTTGGGAGGCCAAGGCAGGCAGATCACGAGGTCAGATCAAGACCATCCTGGCCAACACAGTGAAACCCCATCTCTACTAAAAATACAAAAAATTAGCTGGGTACAGTGGCAGGCGCCTGTAATCCCAGCTATCAGGAGGCTGAGGGAGGAGAATCGCTTGAACCCAGGAGGCAGAGGTTGCAGTGAGCCATTGCACTTCAGCCTGGGCAACACAGCAAGATTCTGTCTCAAAAAAAAAAAAATTCAGGAGACAGATGCTAGAGAGGATGTGGAGAAATAGAAACACTTTTACACTGTTGGTGGGAGTGTAAATTAGTTCAACCATTGTGGAAGACTGTGGTGATTCCTCAAGGATCTAGAAACAGGAATACCATTTGACCCAGCAATCCCATTACTGGGTAGACACCAAAAGGATTATAAATCACTCTATTATAAAGACATATGCACACGTTTATTACAGGACTGTTCACAATAGCAAAGACTTGGAACCAACCCAAATGCCCATCAATGAGAGACTGGATAAAGAAAATATGGCACATACACACCATGGAATAATATGCGGCCATGAAAAAGGATGAGTTCATGTCCTTGGCAGGGACATGGATAAAACTGGAAACCATCATTCTCAGCAAACCGACACAAGAACAGAAAAACAAAGACTGCATGTCCTCACTCATAAGTGGGTGGTGAACAATGAGAACACATGGACACAGGGGAGGGAACATCACACATCAAGGCCGTTCAGAGGGTGGGTGCTAGGGGAGGAATAGCAGGGGGTAGGGGGATAGGGGAGGTATAGCATTAGGAGAAATACCTAATGTAGATGAAGGGGTGATGGATGCAGCAAACCACCATGGCACATGTATTACTATGTAACAAACTGGCATGTTCAGTACACATACCCCCAAACTTAAAGTAAAATAAAATTCAAAAAGAGAAAAAAAAAGCTGGGTGCAGTGGCTCATGCCTGTAATCCCAGCACTTTGGGAGGCCAAGGCGGGTGTATCACGAGGTCAAGAGATCAAGACCATCCTGGTCAACATGGTGAAACCCCGTCTCTACTAAAAATACAAAAAATTAGCTGGGCGTGGTGCCGCGTGCCTGTAATCCCAGCCACTCAGGAGGCTGAGGCAGGAGAATTGCCTGAACCCAGGAGGCGGAGGTTGCGATGAGCCGAGATTGCGCCATTGCACTCCAGCCTGGGTAACAAGAAAAAAACTCCGTCTCAAAAAAAAAAAAGAAAAAAAAAAGAACTTTCATTCCAACCTCAAATAAATAAATAAATAAATAAATAAATAAAATGGTTAATGATCAATTTTATGTTATATATTTATTTTTTTTTTGAGACAGAGTTTCGCTCTTATTACTCAGGCTAGAATGGAATGGCACGATCTTGGCTCACTGCAATCTCCATCTCCTGGGTTCAAGCGATTCTCTTGCCTCAGCCTCCCAAGCAGCTGGGATTACAGGCATCCACCACCACGCCCAGCTAATTTTATATTTTTAGTAGTGATGGGGTTTCACCATGTTGGCCAAGCTGGTCTTGAACTCCTGACCTTAGGTGATCTACCCACCGCAGCCTCCCAAAGTGCTGGGATTACAGGCTTGAGCCACTGCACCCAGCAAATTTATTTTAAAAAAGGAATAAAATGCTGATACGTAAGTTACAACGTGAAGACGAATTTCAAAAACAGCATGCTGCGTGAAAAAAGCCAGTCATCAAAGACCACATATTGCATGATTCTATTTATATGAAATGCCCAGAGTGGGCAAATCTACAGAGACAGAAAGTAGGTTAGTGGTTGCCTTGGGCTGAGGGAATTGGAGGAAAATGAGAAGTGACTACTAAAGGGTATAGGGCTTCTTTCTTGGGGGTTCGTTTTGGGGTGACGAAAATGCTAAAAATTGATTGTGGTGATGGCTGCACAACTCTGTGAATATACTAAAAACCACTAAATTGCACTTTAAATAATGAACTACACAGATATGAGTTATACATCAATAAAGCTGTTACAAAAAAAAGTAACATTTCATTACCTGTCTAATAAACAAGTTACTGTTGTCATGTTAACCTCCTTCACATATCCTCTACACAAAGCAAATAGTGATCTTTCTTCTCCACTCACAATAATTCTGTCACCTGCCATTAGATTTGTGACAGGTATGGCACCATTTTTATGTTGGAAATTATGTAAATACTGTCCATCACAAACTGTCTTTACATGTTCCATTCGAATCAAGTTTCCAATGCAACTGCCACCCTTCTCCCTATGAAAAAGACCAAAGAGAAAAAGCTTCCGTTTATGTTACATATGTAAGTATTGTCCTTGTATTTTCCTTGTACATATGTAAGTATTGTGCTTGCATTTTCAGATGAACTTACTCGTTCATCTGAGCCCTAAAAACTAATACTGAGCCTGTCATTTTTACATTTTCCACAACCTTCAATAAAGTGTTAGAAATGTTAAGTAAACATTCTATCAGTTTTGGGCTTTTGGAAACAACCTCCAACCCCTCCGGGTCAACTAATTCTCATGCTGCAGACTTCCAAGTAGCTAGGATTACAAGCGTATGCCACCATGCCAAGCTAGTATTTTGTAATTTTAGTAGAGACAGGGTTTCACCATGTTGACCAGGTGGGTTTTGAACTCCTGGCCTTAAGTGACCCACCCGCCTCAGCCTCCCAAAGTGCTGGGATTACAAGCCTGAGCCACCATGCTTGCCCTATCATTAGTTTTTAATGTATTGCTCAACTGTTGTTGAAACTAAAGCAATTTTACAGTCTTGTAGGAAAATGCTAGGGAGCACCCCACTCCTGATGTACCCACGGGCTGGGATCTCTGAACAAGGTGTTTTGTTGCCACTTTGATCCCTGAAAGATAGATACCCCCACCTTTTAAGCTGATACATATAACATTACAGAAAACAAACCATAATAACCTGCTCCTAAATGTGAAATTTTTAAAAATTATAACATATTTCTTTAATATTTACAATAAGATTTATAATAATGACAAGCAAACTGATAATTCCACTGCTTCTAAATGAGTATAAAAGGCCAGGTGTGGTGGCTCACACCTGTAATCTCCGCACTTTGGGAGGCCAAAGTGGGCAAATCACCTGAGGTCAGGAGTTTGAGACCAGTCTGGCTAACATGGTGAAATCCCGTTTCTACTAAAAATACAAAAAATTAACCAGGTGTGCTGTCACATGCCGGTAATCCCAGTTACTTGGGAGGATGAAGGAGGAGAATCACTTGAACCCAGGAGGCAGAGATTGCAGTGAGCCGAGATCGTGCCACTGCACTCCAGTTTGGGCAACAAGAGTGAAATTCCATCTCAAAAGAAAAAAAAAGAAAAAGAAATGAGTATTAAACATTTTAAAACCTCTCTGGCACTACTACAAAATAACATGCAATCTCAGAGGCTTATTGGTATTTACGTAGGTATGACAGATTCACTACACCTTATGCAGTCTAACTACAATTAAATAAACTTACTCCATAGCAATGTTATCTTCTGTTAAAGTCTAATATTGGAGAACTAATGATCCAATTATTTCTAAAGTCATGTCATTAATATTCATTCTGGAAAGAAAAAAAGTGAAACTAAAGCAATTTTTACATTAAAAAAAATTTTGGCTGGGTGAGTGTAATCACAAGGTCAGGAGTTCCAGATCAGCTTGGCCAACATGGCGAAACCCTGTCTCTACTAAAAATACAAAAATTAGCTGGGTATGGTGGCATGCGCCTGTAATCCTAGCTTCTTGGGAGGCTGAGGCATGAGAATTACTGTAACCTGGGAGGTGGAGGCAGCAATGAACCAAGACACTCCCACCTGGGTGACTGAGCAAGACTCTGTCAAAAAAAAAAAGTTTTACATACTATAAAGGGCCTAAGGTTAAAAAAGCTAAAGCAATTACATTTTACATAAATTTTACATGTATATAGTAAACTCACTATACATATGCAGTCTATAATTATATATATATAAACTTTTTCAACTGCAATGTTTCCTTGTATTAAAGTCATTATTAGGTAAATAATGATCCAATTATTTCTAAAGTCACATCATTAATATTCATTCTACAAAGAAAAAATAAGCTAAAGAAATGAAATTTTACATAAAAAAAAATACTATGCAAAGATATACCAAATTCTAGGTGAGGTAGTGGCTTATACCTATAATCTCCGCACTTTGGGAGACCAAGGTGGGAGGATCACTTGAGCCCAGGAGTTTAAGACTAGCCTGGGCAATAGCAAGACTCTGTCTCTATAATAATGTAAAATAAAATAAAATAAAAAATTAGCCGCAGCACAGTGGCTTGCAGGTGTAATACAAGCACTTTGGGTGGTCAAGGTTGGAAGACTGCTTGAGGCCAAGAGTTCAAGACCAGCCTGGGCCACATAGCAAGACCCCTTCTCTAAAAAAAAAAAAAGAACAAAACAAAACAAAAAACAAAAACGGCCAGGCACAGTGGCTCACGCCTGTAATCACAGAACTTTGGGTGGCCAAGGCCTGTGGATCACAAGGTCAGGAGATCGAGACCATCCTGGCCAACATGGTAAAACCCCATCTCTACTAAAGATACAAAAATTAGCAAGTCGTGGTGGCATGTGCCTGTAGTCCCAGCTACTAGGGAAGCCGAGGCAGGAGAATCGCTTGAACCGGGAGGTGGAGGTTGCAGTGAGTGAGATCATGCCACAGCACTCCTGCACTCCAGCCTGGTGACAGAGTACGGCTGTCTCAAAAAAAAAACAAAAACAAAAACAAACAAACAAAAAACATTAGCCAGGGTTGGTGGTATGCACCACTAGCTACTCAGGAGGCTGAGGCAAGATGACCATTTTATCCCAGAAGTTCGAGGCTACAGTGAGCCATGATTGCACCACTATACTCCAGCCAGAAAAGTAATTTTTAAAACAAATTTCTTGAGGCATATTTAGCCTATTGAAACTATATTACTAACTAGCAATGATTCCAGCACATAGGATACATAGTAATGATGCTCTTCTTAGAAACAATGGAGAGCCATCTGCATTTGTCATGAATAAACGAAATCACATATGTATAACATGCTACATAACTGTATTTGTCATAAATTCCAAATGCCACCTCACTAGCTAATGCAAACCACTGAAATCTTTCAGTATTAAATGGACTACTTACATTTCCAAAGTAGGCATTAACCATATATTTTGGTGATTCTTTTTATTATCCTTTGATTGTGACTCCAGGGTTAACATTAGATACCAAAGGTTGAAATATTCTAAGTGTGTATGCTTCAGATGCTGGGTTTCTTCTTCTATTTTGGGCATCATGACAATTGGGACTGAATTACCATCCATCTGTTGTTCAACTGCTCTAAATATAAAGTTCCAAGTTAGAGATGCTTATAAACCATTTCCCTGGCTGGCTATGAAGTGAGATAATTCCAAAATAAGAACACATATATCATCGTAACTCATAACCACAGCCCCTAATTTACCTTAAAACTCATTTCAACATTTTATAAGCCATATGGGTTTTTATAAAACAAAATGTGTAAGAAACTCAATACTGCATTACATTGCTTTCTATGACTATCTCCCAAACAACTCAGGTTTGGTGTACTATAATCTGCATTCCCAAATGCAAGAAGTTTTGGCTTTTAGTACAACGTTATTTCTCAAAAATCACAATATTTGTACACCTAGCTCAGTGACATGAGTAAACATAAAAACATGGAGAATCATTTGGATTTTGCTTAATACCAGATTAAAGTATTTTCTATAGAAACAAACATGCTATAGGACAGCATACAAAACATTGACAATAAACATCAGATTTCAAAGAAATGTACCCAGACTTCCTACGGTTCACAGTCCTCTGCTATTAAGAGATCCCTTGAACAAATACCTTAAAAAGGATTTACATGAGGCTGGGCACAGTGGCTTATGCCTGTAATCCCAGCACTTTGGGAGGCTGAGTCAAGTGGACTGCCTGAGCTCATGAATTCGAGACCAGCCTGGGCAACACGGTGAAACCCCATCTCTAAAATGTAAAAAATTAGCCAGGGGTGGCAACCTGCACCTGTAGTCCCAGCTACTCAGGAGGCTGAGGCAGGAGAATTGCTTAAACCCAGGAGGCAGAGGTTGCAGTGAAGTGAGATCACACCACTGCACTCCAGCCTGGGTGACAGAGCAACTCTCTCTCTCTCTCTCTCTCTCTCTCTCTCTCTCTCTCTCTCTCTCTCTCTCTCTCTCTCTCTCTCTCAAAAAAAAGTATTTACATGAATTTCAGCCTAGTGCCATGGCTCACTCCTATAATCCCAGAACTTTGGGAGGCCAAGGCAGGCAGATCCCTTGAGGTCAGGAGTTCAAGACCAGCCTGGCTAACATAGTAAAACCCTGTCCATTAAAAATACAAAAAATTAGCTGGGCACGGTGACTCATGCCTGGAATCTCAGCCCTTCGGAGGCTGAGGTGGGCGGATCATTTGAGGTCAGGAGTTGGAGATCAGCCTGACTAACACTGGTCAGCTGTCACATCTTAGTTGCTGTTTTAATCTCAGCCCTTTTGTAGTTAGAGATAGGGAAACTACTTTCAGATACGTAGTCTGATATTCAGTGAATGGGCCTGCCCATTTGACTGTGGAAAACACAGTCAAATCAGAGCCAACGTTCTAATTTAGTCTAAAAATTCACATAAATGCTTTTTAAAAAATTATTTTGGCCGGATGCAGTGGCTCATGCCTGTAATCCTAGCACTTTGGGAGGCTGAGGTAGGCAGATTATGAGGTCAAGAGATCGAGACCATCCTCACCAACATGGTGAAACCCCATCTCTACTAAAAAATAAAAAAAATTATCTGGGCGTGGTGGCAGGTGCCTGTAGTCCTAGCTAGCTACTCAGGAGGCTGAGGCAGGAGAATCACTTGAACCCAGGAGCCAGGGGTTGCAGTGAGCCAAGCGACAGAGCGAGACTCTGTTTCAGGAAAAAAAAAAAGAAATTGAAGATGCCTTGAACTATCATTTAAGAAAACTTGTATTCAAAATGCCTACACAGGTTGAGCATCACTTTTCCAAAATGCTTGAGATTAGAAGTGTTTCTTATTTACTCAGATTTTTGAATACTTGCATTATATTGGTTAAAAATCAAAATCTGAAATCTGAAATCCTCCAATGAGCATTTTCTTTGAGCATCATGTCAGTGCTCAAAATGTTTCTGATTCAGGCCAGGTGTGGTGGCTCACACCTGCAATCCCAGCCCTTTGAAAGGCCAAGGCAGGTGGATCACTTGAGCCCAGGAGTTTCAGTCTATAGTGAGCTAAGATTGTACCACTGCACTTCAGCCTGGGCAACAAGCAAGACCCTGTTTCTAAAAACAAAACAAAAAACCTTTTGGATTTTTAGAGCATTTTAGATTTCGAGGTTTTGAACTTGGGATGCTCAAACTGTACTACATCTTTCATAAGCTGATTCCACTGTCCTAAAATTATTTCATTTCACAAAACTGAATGCAGCAAAGTTAAAATTATCAATTTTTGGAAAAACTTTTTAAAGCACTCTATTAATTTCTTATGGAAATAGGCTTCTTAGAAAATACGTACTGTGGTTTTTTTTTTTTCTATTCTCTTAATTTTAAAAATAATACACACAAAGGAAAATATAAAAGAAAAATAACTAAAATAATGTTATCAGTAGTGGACCAGCCACCAATATTAAATCATATTTAGTTGAGTTCACATTCAACTTGAAATAATGCCTTTGGAAGACAATATTTACCTGCTATAAAGAGCACAATTGCCCATTTGTGAACAATATTTACAAGTTTTCTCTTCCTCAATTATCTGTGGCAAAGAAGCAAGCTGTGTCTTCTGTCTAGTAGCAGATTTGCTAATACGGTGAAACAAAGAGAATGCCATTTGATTTCTCAGCTTTAATAATTCTATGAAAAAAAGGCAAATGTCTTTTTAAGAATTAAATAAAATTCATCATGTCTTTTTCATTATATATGTAAAACTTTCAGATTTAAAAACTTATTAGGGCTGGGGGCAGTGGCTTACACCTGTAATCCCACTTTGGGAGGCCGAAGCAGGCAGATCACGTGAGGTCAAGGGTTGGAGACTAGCCAGACCAACATGATGAAACCCCAACTCTACCAAAAATACAAATTAGCCAGGCGTGGTGGCGCATCCCTGTATTGCAGCTACTCAAGAGGCTGAGGCAGGGGGATTGCTTGAAACCAGGAGCAGAAGTTGCAGTGAGCCAAAATCAAGCCATTGCACTCCAGCCTGGGTAACAAGAGCGAAACTCTTTCTTGAGATAAACAAACAAACAGTGCTCGCTTGGGCAGCACATAGACTAAAATTGGAATGACACAGAGAAGATGAGCATGGCCCCCGTGCAAGGATGACATGCAAATTCATGAAGCATTCCATAAAAAAAAAAAAAAGAAAGGAAATAAACGAACAAACATTTTTAAAAGGAAAAACAGCATTCATATTTCCCACTATACTAGAATAACTTAACATTTTGGCATGTTTCCTTTAAGTTTTTTGTTCACTTGATAAATTCTTTAAACTACATATTTTATAACTAGCAAGCATTGTGAAGTTGGTATTAGCTCAATGCTGAGAGAAAATACAGCTATGTAGAATTTATTTCTTTAATATAAGATAGAAAGTTTGAAATAAATTTTGCATAATAAAATTTTAAAAGATTAATAATGTTTTCCACTATAATTTTGAGTGTCTTATCAAAATATACTTTCAATTTTGAGTATATTATCAAACTTCTTTTTTAAAAATGCCACTATGGTGAGGTGCAGTGGCTCATGCCTATAATCCCAGCACTTTCAGAGGCCAGGGCAGGCAGATCACTTGAGGCCAGAAGTTCAAGACCAGTCTGGTCAACATGGCAAAACCCCATCTCTACTAAAAATATAATTAGCCAGCCATGGTGGCACATGACTGTAATCCCAGCTACTAAGGAGATTGAGAAAGGAGAATAGTTTCAATCCAGGAGGTGGAGGCTGCAGTGAGCTGAGATTCTGCCACTGCACTCCAGCCTGGGCAACAGAGTGAGACTCTGTCTCAAAAATCAAAAACAAAAAAACACACACAAAACAGCAACAACAAAAAGCCCACAGGCTGCGAACTTTGGGAGGCCGAAGTGGGCAGATCACCTGAGGTCGGGAGTTTGAGACCAGCCTGATCAACATAGAGAAACCCTGTTTCTACTAAGAATACAAAATTAGGCGGGTGTGGTGGCGAATGCCTGTAATCCCAGCTACTCGAGAGGCTGAGGCAGGAGAATCACTTGAACCCGGGAGGCGGAGGTTACAGTGAGCCCAGATCACACCACTGCACTCCAGCCCGGGCAATAATAGCGAAACTCTGTCTTTAAAAAAAAACAAAACAAACAAACAAAAAAAACCATAGCTACAAAGTACAACCTAGTAAGTACTGTGAGTAGATTGTCAGGTGTAAATATGTATGACCAGAAGCTGAAGTGGGAGGTGGGGCAAAGAAGCAAAGCTAAAAGAAAACAGCTCAACCTCTTCTATCTAGATGGTTGGCAGGCACAGGGTACATCTGACCAGTCTTGAGGTAGAGAAGCAAGCCAGCCTCTGGATCAGTTCTTCTCTCTTGGCTTAGCAGAGTGTACAGAACAACCTGTGTAAACATTGACATTTGCTCAAACAAAATTATAACTTCTTGTATTTCCCTACATTTTCTTGCAACCAAAACATAATTTTTAAGTCAAAAGACCAATAAAGGTATTTCTATTTAAAAAGTAACAAGGTTGCCCATCGATGATAGACTGAAAACAAAAAAATAAAATAAATATAAATAAAAAGGAACATGGGCCAAATGAGTAAAGATAACACAAAAAATTTAATGTCAAACGTTTAATCCAGGCCAGGCATGGTGGCTGACACCTGTAATCTCAACACTTTGGGAGGCCAAGACAGGAGGATCCCTTGAGCCCAGGAGTTAAAGACCAGCCTGGGCAATACAGTGAGACAAACTGATGGTCATTTTGTTAAATAAAAAAAGCCAGATACAGATAACTTTGTATGTTCTTATTTACCTGTGGGAGCAAAAAAATTAACAACTGAACTCATGGATAGTAGAAGGTTGGTTACCAGAGGCTGGGAACGGTTGTGAGGGTGGTGGGGGAGAAGTGGGGATGGTTAATGGGTACCAAAAAAAAGTTAGACGGAATGAATAAGACCTAGTATTTGCTACCACAACAGAGTGACTATAGTATAGTGAAATATAATTTAACTATGCATTTTCAAATAACTAAGGAGTATAACTGGGTTATTTGTAACAAAAACCTTTGAGGGGATCGTATTGCATGCCTGTATTAAAATACCTTATGTAACCCACTAAATACCCACACCTGACCTCAGATGATCCACCTGCCTCGGCCTCCCAAACTGCTGGGATTACAGGCGTGAGCCACCATGCCAGGCCAATTTCCTCATTTTTTTCAATACAAGAATTACTATTTTATTCTTAAAATTTTCTTGCACTTCTTGCAAAAATAAAACCTCCAATTGAACAAAGTAAAATACAGTAATATTCTTTGCCTTGAAGGCATGGCAAATTAGAGCAGCAATGTCAATGAACAAAGGTCTTGGGGGAAAAAAAGTCTTGGAATCTAAATCACTTAAGATACTGAAATGCTTTTATTTCTTTTTTTAGAGACGGAATCTTGATCTGTCACACCTAGGCTGAAGTGCAGTAGCACAATCTGAGCTCACTGCAACCTCTGCCTCCCTGGATCGAGCAATTCTCCTGCCTCAGCCTCCCTAGTAGCTGGGACTGCAGGTACGGGACACCATGCTGGGCTAATTTTTTTTTCTTTTTTTTTTTTTTGTAGTCGCGATGGCGTTTCACAACATTGGCCAGGCTGGTCTCAAACTCTTGACCTCAAGTAAACCTCCCAAAGTGCTGGGATTACAGACATAAGCCACCACACCTGGCCTTGAAATGCTTTTAGATTTCTCTCCTGTTTAGCATTATAAAGTGATTTCATTCAAACTTGTGATTTTTAAAAATCAAGTAAAAAATTTTCAGTCTCATATACACAAAACACCTTTCTTCTGACCTTTGACTTCAAAAACACCCTTCTTCTATTGGCATAATTTTTCTTCGTCAAGAGGGTTTTAACTTAGCCAAGTCTTTAAGTTTGAAATTTCAGTCATTTCTGTATTACCAAAGTAAAAAAGTTCAACTCTTTAAAAAGCGGGAATGTTTTCTTCCACATCCAACATCTCCAGAAAACCCAATAATAGGTGAAGCAAAGTTACCCTACTTTTCATTCCCAAACTGTAAAGCTCTTGTGAAAACCTTCAGTGTGGCTGGGTACAGTAGCTCACACCTGTAATTCCAGCACTTTGGAAGGCCAAGGCGGGGCGGATTGAGACCAGCCTGGCTAACATGGTGAAACCCCATCTCTACTAAAAATACAAAAACATTAGCTGGGCGTGGTGGCGCACACCTGTAATCCCAGCTATTCAGGAAGCTGAGGCAGGAGAATCGCCTCAACCGGGGAGGCAGAGGTTGCAGTGAGCAGAGATGATGTCACTGCACTCCAGCCTGGGTCAGAGAGGGAGACTCCATTTCAAAAAAAAAAAAAAACAAAAAACCCTTCGATGTTTGGTAAACAATTAATAGCAAAAGGCTGGCATGGTGGCTCACGCCTGTAAACCCAACACGTTGGGAGGCTGAGGTGGGAGGATGATGTGAGGTCACGAGTGTGAGACTAGGCTGGATAATATGGCAAAACCCCATCTCTACAAAAAATACAAAAATTAGGCATAGTGGTGTGCACCTCTAGTCCCAGCTACTTGGGAGGCTGAGGTGGGAGGATGGCTTGAGTCCGGGAGGTGGAGGTTCCAGAGCTAAGATCAAGTCACTGCACTCCAGCCTAGGTGACAGAGTCAAACCTTGTCTCAAACAAAGAAAAAAGCAAGAAATACTTTTTTCTTTTTTTGAGATGGAGTCTCTCACGGTCACCCAGGCTGCCCAGGCTGGAATTAAGTGGCGAAACCTCAGCTCACTGCAACCTCTGCCTTCCAGAATTCTCCCGCCTCAGCTTCCCAAGTTGCTGGGATCATAAGCATCTGCTGCCACACCTGGCTAATTTTTGTATTTTTAGTGGAGACAGGGTTTCACCATTGGCCAGGCTGATCTCAAACTCCTGACTTCAGGAGAAACACCTGCCTTAGCCTACGTGGGTTAAAGGAGTCAGCCACCTCACCCAGCCTCCAAGAAAGATTTAATAAAGCATGACTCTTTAATATCTAATTATATAAGTCAGTATTTTGAACCTTATTTTATATAAAATATATTCAAATAATATGCAAAATTGTAAGGGCAATGGAAATTTAAGTTATACTATAAACTCTATGTTGTTTTATTATTTATTTTCTTAGTAATTATATCACAAAAATATAATAATGTTACTATCTTTTAGTTCTATCTTTGCTGATTTAAAAACTTCTATAGGCCAGGCTTGGTGGCTCATGCCTGTAATCCTAGCACTTTGTGAGACCAAGGCAGGTGGAATGCCTGAGCTCAGGAGTTCAAGACCAGCCTGGGCAAATCAATAAAATCCTGTCTCTACTAAAATACAAAAAAAAATAGGCCGGGCGCAGTGGCTCAAGCCTGTAATCCCAGCACTTTGGGAGGCCAAGGTGGGTGGATCACGAGGTCAAGAGATCGAGACCATCCTGGTCAACATGGTGAAACCCCGTCTCTACTAAAATTACAAAAAAATTAGCTGGACATGGTGGCGCAGGCCTGTAATCCCAGCTACTTGGAAGGCTGAGGCAGGAGAATTGGCTGAACCCAGGAGGCGGAGGTTGCGGTGAGCTGAGATCACGCCATTGCACTCCAGCCTGGGTAACAAGAGCGAAACTCCGTCTCAAAAAAAATAAAATAAATAAAATAACCTGGGCACAGTGTCATACGCCTGTAGTTCCAGCCACTCAGGAGGCTGAGACAGGAGAATCACTTGAATTGGGGAGGTGGAGTTTGCAATAAACTAAGATCATGCCCCTGCACTCCAGCCTGGGTGACAGAGCAAGACTCTGTCTCAAAACAAATAAATAAATAAAAGCTATGAAAACATCCTGCAGATTGCCAATGTAGAGAGGGGCAGAGGGGATGACAATAATCAGAAAATAAAACACAATTTAGTGTTAGTTGATTTGTCAAATCACTATAATTAATGTAAACTAAAAATAATTTTGAAGGACAACAGGAAATTGTTTATCAAAGAAAAATATGAATTTTTTTAATCTTTGTTTTTTTAAAAGATGGACTCTCACTCTGTCACCCAGGCTGGAGTGCAATGGTGCAATCTCAGCTCACTGCAACCTCTGCCTCCTAGATACAGGGGATTCTCCTGCCTCAGCCTCAGGGATTACAAGTACATGCCACCATGCACAGCTAGTTTTTGTATTTTTAGTAAAGATAGGGTTTCACCATTTTGGCCAGGCTGGTCTCAAATTCCTGAAGTTCCTCCCAAAGTGCTGGGATTACAGGCGTGAGCCACCATGTCTGACCCCAAATAAATTTTAAAACTTGAATTTAACATAATGGTAAGACAGGTATCTGTATTTCATCTCAGATAAAAATCAATATAATCACATAAAGGTTGGAAATAAAAGAATGAATTTACATCGATGTTTTCTGAAGACCATCCTAAGTGAATGTTATATGAAAAAATAGTTCCATGGTAAAAACTTTAATAGAGTACACTGCAAAATCTTCAGATACACTTGGTTTCTCCAATTAACCAAGCATTCTTTTTCTTTTTTTTTTTTTTTGAGACAGTCTCACTCTGTTGCTCAGGCTGAAGTGGAGTGCAGTGGCAAAATCTCAGTTCACTGCAACTTCCGCCTCCCAGGTTCAAGCAATTCTCATGCCTCAGCCTCCCAAGTGGCTGGGATGAACAGGCATGTGCCATTACATCTGACTAGTTTTTGTATTTTTAATAGAGACAGGGTTTTGCCATGTTGTCTGGGCTGGTCTTGAATTCCTGATCTCAGATGAAGTGCTGGGATTACAGGCGTGAGCCACCGCACCCAGCCTTTTCTTTTGAGTCGGATTCTTGTTCTGTTGCCCAGGCTAAAGTGCTGTGGTACAATCACAGCTCACTGAAGCCTCAACCTTCTGGGCTAAAGCTATCCTCCAGCCTCAGACTCCTGAGTAGCTATGACTACAGGTGTGTACCACCATGCCTGGATAATTTTTTTTGTTTTTTTGTAGAGATGAGGTCTTGCTATGTTGCCCAAGCTGGTATTGAACTCCTGGGCTCAAATGACCCTCCCAACACCATGCAAGGCCAATCATTATTTTTCTTAGGATCATCTGCTTAGACTTGTTTGGCAGCCCAAATTTGGCAACATTGGATTACAATTAAGCTGTTATATTACTTTGTTGATAGACATTTCTACTGTAGCATGTATGCATTTACAAAACAAGCTGAGTACCCTAAATGTATTGTAAATGAAAAAGTACATGAAACTGAAATACAAATGACCTAAATTGAACCAAAATATACAAAGCAGACTGTATCTTTAAAAATATTAAACAATTAGAAAAAAAAAGTATTAAACAATTTTCTTATTAAAATTTATACCTGACTACGGTGTTCAATAGAATTTGATTCTTTGCCAGTTTTAAGTTCCAATGGCATTATCTTGTATTTTGTTTTACACCCTCGATGTATTTTCACACCAACTGTAACGTCTATTTTGCCCTTCAATCCAAACCTAGGGGACCAAATGCTTTCTTCAATATCCACTGATTTCACGACTTCAATGTTACATGTTGAATTATCCTTGTTATTATCACTTGGCCTAAAAAAAAAAAAAAAGCACAAAAACACTTAATTAGAACACTTAGCTCTTTTCCATCTGGTCAGGAGTTTAAGACCATCCTGACCAACATGGAGAAACCCCATCTCTACAAAAAATACAAAATTAGCCAGGTGTGGTGGTGCATGCTTGTAATTGCAGCTACTTGGAAGGCTGAGGCAGAATTGCTTGAACCCAGGAAGCAGAGTTTGCAGTAAGCCGAGATCAAGCCATTGCACCGCAGCCTGGGCGACAGAGCAAGACTCTGTCTCAAAGAAGAAAAAAAAAAGAAAAAGAAAATACATATCTACATATAAAAAATAGCCTATCTTATAATAATGAAAATAAAATTTTCTATTCACTGGTTTCTTTTTTGTCAAGGAAAGATACTTAGGACCATAAATATCTTTCAAAAAAAAGGAAAGGATATAAAAACCCTCAATGGCTTCCTATCTCATCAGAGCAGTAGCCAAGTCCTGACCAGGATGAAGCCCCAGAAAAACTACTGCTGCTTTTCTCCTACTGCACTTTGCTCCAGCCATCACACCGGCTCCCTGAGATGTTGTACACATGGCTAGTATCACTTAAGGTCAGGAGTTCGAGACCAGCCTGGCCAATAAGGCAAAACCCCATCTCTAATAAAAATACAAAAATTGGCCGGGCACAGTGGCTCACGCCTGTAATCCCACCACTTTGGGAGGCCGAGGCTGGTAGATCACAAGGTCAAGAGATTGAGACCATCCTGGTCAACATAGTGAAACCCCGTCTCTACTAAAAAAAAAAAAAATACAAAAATTAGCTGGGCATGGTGGCGTGTACCTATAATCCCAGCTACTCAGGAGGCTGAGGCAGGAGAATTGTCTGAACCCAGAAAGTGGAGGTTGCGGTGGGCCGAGATCATGCCATTGCACTCCAGCCTGGGTAACAAGAGCGAAACTCCGTCTCAAAAAAAAAAAAAATACAAAAATTAGCCGGGTATGGTGGTGCATGCCTATAATCCCAGCTACTCAGGAGGTTGAGGCAGAATTGCCTAAACCCGGGAGGCAGAGGTTGCAGTAAGCAGAGATCACACCATTGTACTCCAGCCTGGGCAACAGAACAAGACTCCTGTCTCAAAAAAAAAAAAAAAAAAAAAAGGAATCACATGAAAAAAATTAGGACCCCCAAAATATTTATAAATTGATTGCTTTATAAGAAAATATACGCTGGAGCCGGGCACGGTGGCTCAAGCCTGTAATCCCAGCACTTTGGGAGGCCAAGGCGGGTGGATCACGAGGTCAAGAGATCGAGAACATCCTGGTCAACATGGTGAAACCCTGTCTCTACTAAAAATACAAAAAATTAGCTGGGCATGGTGGTGCATGCCTGTAATCCCAGATATTCAGGAGGCTGAGGCAGGAGAATTGCCTGAACCCAGGAGGTGGAGGTTGTGGTGAGCTGAGATCGCGCCATTGCACTCCAGCCTGAGTAACAAGAGCAAAATTCCATCTCATTAAAAAAAGAAAATACAGGCTGCAAATGGTCTCTCATGCCCATAATCCCAGCACTTTGGGAGACCGAAGTGGAGGGATCACCTGAGGTCAGGAATTCGAGACCAGGCTGGCCAACATGATGAAACATTGTCCTACTAAAAATACAAAAAATTAGCCAGGCATGGTGGTGGGTCCCTGTAATCTCAGCTACTTGGGACACTGAGGAAGAAGAACTGCTTGAACCCAGAAGGTAGAGGTAGAGTAAGCTGAGATCATGCTATTGCACTTCAGCCTGGGCAACAGAGCAAAACTCTTTCTTAAAAAAGCATAAAAGAATGAAAAAGAAAGTACATATCTTCATATTAAAAATAGGCTATATTTGGGGCCGGGCACGGTGGCTCACACCTATAATCCTAGCACTTTGGGAGGCCGAGGCGGGTGGATCACGAGGTCAAGAGATCGAGACCATCCTGGTCAACATGGTGAAACCCTGTCTCTACTAAAAATACAAAAATCAGCTGGGCATGGTGGCGCGGGCCTGTAGTCCCAGCTACTCGGGAGGCTGAGGCAGGAGAATTGCTTGAACCCAGGAGGCGGAAGTTGCAGTGAGCCGAGATCGCACCATTGCACTCCAGCCTAGGTAACAAGAGCAAAACTCCGGTCTCATTAAAAAAAAAAAAAGGCTATCTTTAGTAATGAAAATAAAATTTTCTGTTCACTGGGCTCTTTTTTGTCATAGAAAGATACGTAGGACCATAATTTATAAAATAAGCAAGCAAAAAGGCTAATTGTAATGCTCAATCTTTTAAAAACTTTGATTCAACACCCAGAATAGCATCCTGGTCTAAAAATATGAAGACTATATAAACAAAATGTGTTTCTTACAGAGAAAGCTGCATCTGAGGGAAGTCAGTCGAACTGTTCTTATGCATATAATCTCCTGCCCATTTACAAAATGCAGGAAGGTAGTCCTCTACTTCTTGTTTTATTTCATCTTGATTTAGATTTAAGCGGTACCTGCCAAAAATGTGATAGTAAATATGAAAGTATAAATATGAGAAAAAGTAAATGGGGACAAAAGCATACAAATAAGCAACACAACTATTCGTCAGCCAATAAATGGATAAACCAAATGTGGCACACTCCACACAATCCAATATTATTCAGCTATAAACAGGAAGGGAATTCTGACATATGCTACAACATGGAATAACCTTCTGGACATTATGCTAAATGAAACAGGCCAGTCATAAAAGGACTAATATTCATATGAGATACCTACGGTAGTCAAAATCATAGATACAGAAAGTAGAATGGAGGTTGCAAGAGGCAGGGAGAAGGAAAGAAATAGGGGGTTATTGTTTCAAGGGTACAGAGCTTCAGTTTGGAAAGATGCAAAGAGTTCTGGAGATAGATGGAGTGATGGCTGTACAACAAGGTGAATGTACTTTGCCTCTGAAATGTACCTTAAAAATGGTTAACATGAGTTGGGCAAGGTGGCTAATGTCTGTAATCCCAGCATTTTGGGAGGCTGAGGCAGGTGGATCAGTTGGGGTCACGTTGGTCACCAGCCTAACCAACATGGTGAAACCCCGTCTCTACGTAAAAACACAAAAATTAGCCAGGCCTGGTGGCTCATGCATATAATCCCAGCTACTAGGGAAGCTGAGGCAGGAAAATCAATTGAACCCAGGAGGCGGAGGTTGCAGTGAGCCGAGATCATGCCATTGTATTCCAGCCTGGGCAAGAGAGCAAGATTCTGTCTCAACAACGACAAAAAATGAATATACATTTTAATTTCAAATAAATTAATAAACATCTCAGTTTTGACTTCTATTAATAGTAATTAATCATAGATATAGCCCACATAAGCAAAAGCTCTTTACAGTCCTTAATAATTTTTTAGCATAAAGGGGTCCTGAGAGCAAAAAGTTTTAAGAACTGCTGTTACAGACTTCCCCTCCTAGGATGATTATTCCAGTTCCTTCTTTATATTTAAGCTCCCCAATCTTAATAATTAGGGTGGTAGAAGCATATCAGTTTGTATGTCAGATCACACCTAGGACTAAATCCTAACTGCACTAACCAGATGTATGACTAAGGTTAGTGTTAATTAAGCCCGTTTCCTCATCTGTAAGGAGAAGATGATAACTACCTTACAAAGTTAGTCTGAGGATTAAATAGAACATTGTATGTAAAGCACTTAGCTGATGGTAAGAACTCATTAAGATATAGGCTGGGCGCAGTGGCTCACACCTGTAATCCCAGCCCTTTGGGAGGTCAAGGCAGGCAGATCACTTGAGGTCAGGAGTTTGAGACCAGCCTGGTCAACACACTGAAACTCCATCTCTACTAAAAATACAAAAAAAATTAGTGGGACATAGTGGCGCACACCTGTAATCCCACCTACTCGGGAGGCTGAGGCAGGAGAATCGCTTGAACCCAGGAGGCAGAGGTTGCAGTGAGCTGAGATCACACTACTGCACTGCAACTTGGGCAACAGAGGGAGATTCAGAAAGGGAAAAAAAATTATTGAGGTATAAAAGACCATGATGATAACAACAAAGACAGTGCTGACTATAGATCAGCACCATTCCCAGTGCTTCGTATGAATAAATGCCTTCAATCTTCATTGTAACTCTCTGAGAGAGGTGCTATTATTGTCATCTCCATCTTCTGGCTGGAGAAACTAAAACATAGAAAATAAGGCCAGGCGGGCTCCCACCTGTAATCCCAGCATTTTGGAAGGCCAAGGCAGGTGGATCACCTGAGGTCAGGACTTCAAGACCAGCCTGGCCAACACTGTAAAACCTGGTCTCTACTAAAAATACAAAAATTAGCTGGGCATATTGGTGCACTGTAGTCCCAGCTACTAAGGAGTCTGAGGCTTGAACCTGGGAGGTGGAGGCTGCAGTGAGCCGAGTTTGCATGATCACACTCCAGCCTGGGCAACAAGAGCAAATCTCCATCTCAAAAATATAAAATAAATAAAATTTTTTAAAAATTAAAGAAAAATACAAAAATTAGTTGGGTATAGTGGCACACACCTGTAATTCCAACTACTCAGGAGGCTGAGGCATGATAATCACTTGAACCCTAGAAGCAGAGGTTGTAGTGAGCCAAGATCATGCCACTGAGCTCCAGCCTGAGCAACAGAGTGGAGACTCTGTCTCAAAGAAAAAAGAAGTTATATTACTTCCAAAGAATACACAGCTCTAGACCTGCAACTTGAGTTTTTTTTTTTTAAATGAAGTCTCACTCTGTCACCCAGACAGGAGTGCAGCGGTGCAATCTCGGCTCACTGCAACCTCCGCCTCCTGAGTTCAAGCGATTCTTCTGCCTCTAGATCTGCAACTTGAGTTCTTAACCCTTATGATGCTTCCTTCTATACTATGCTATCAAAACTCACTGCCATTATTCTCCCTGCAGGCCTGAGTTCATTTGAGTATAAGCATAGCCTCCTACAATCTGCAAATTTCTTTTAAAAGATAACAGTTTATAATTTTTCTCACATGCTTAAGGGGATACCATAATAACACATTCATCAGACATGGAGACTTCAGGATACTACATATTTACCTTATAACTGTGCAGTATTTCTACACCAAATTTAATAAGCTGTTACTTTCCTATATTTCTGCCACATTCAGTGTACCACTGACAGAGCAGAGAGTTGTGTCAGCCCTCTGGGAGAGCCAGTCCAATAGAAAAGACAAAATTAGCAATGCTAGCTCTGCCAAAATTATCTTACACAAAATAGCCACCTCAGGTTAAAAGAGAAGCTGAAATTCCTCAAGCCAGGAAGCCACTGCTAATACCAAAGCACCCAAAGAGATGTACAGAAACACACAGACTACTCAAGGTAAAGGTTATGCTTGTAAAAGGCTGTTTGAAATCAGGCAGCCTCTAATTAAAAATGATGTAGATGAGCATCTGGTCACACAAGGTCTCATATACCGCCAGTAGAAATGTAAACTGGGACAATGTCTATACAGAGCAATTTGGTAATATGTATTGAAATTTTAGACCAGGCATGGTGGCTCACGACTATAATCCCAGCACTTTGGGAGGCCAAGGAGGGTGGATCACTTGAGGTTAGGAGTTCAAGATCAGCCTTGCCAACATGGTGAAACCCTGTCTTCACTAAAAATACAAAAAAATTAGTCGGGCCTGGTAGCATGTGCCTGTAATTCCAGCTACTCAGGAGGCTGTGGTGGGAGAATGGCTTGAACCGGAGAGGTGGAAGTTGCAGTGAGCCAATATTGTGCCACTGCACTCTAGCCTGGGTGACAGAGCAAGACTCTGTCTCAAAAAATAATAATAAATTTTAAATGCACCCAGACTTAGGCCTCCAGAATGTACTTAAAAAAGAAAAAAAAAAAGAAATGTGACTGGGCGTGGTGGCTCATGGCTGTAATCCCAGCACTTTGGGAGGCTGAGGCGAGTGGATCACTTGAGGTCAGGAGTTTGAGACCAGCCTGACCAACTTGGAGAAACCCTCTCTCTACTACAAATACAAAATTAGCTGTGGTGTGGTGTGGTGTGGTGGCACATGCCTGTAATCCCAGTTACCCAGGAGGCTGAGGCAAGAGAATCACTTGAACCCAGGAGCCAGAGGTTGCACTGAGCCGAGATCCTGCCATTGCACTCCAGCCTGGGCAAAAAGAAGGAAACTCCATCTCAAAAAAGAAAACAATTAAAAAAATAAAAAAATAAATGCACCCAGACTGAATCCTGTATTGAAGGGAAAAAAATTCTATAAAGGACATTATTAGACACTTGGTAAAACTGAAAATGTGGACAGTAGATCAAATAAAAGTATTATATCAGTGTTACATGTGGTTATGTAAAATAAAATTCTTGGCCAGATAGAGTGGCACACACCTATAATCTCAGAACCTTGGGAGGCTAAGGCAGGTAAATCCTTGAGCCCACGAGTTGGAGACCAGCCTGGCCAACATGGCGAAACCTCATCTCTACAAAAAATTCAAAAAATTAACCAGGCATGGTGGTGAGCAACTGTAGTCCCAGCTACTTGGGAGGATGAGGCATAAGAATCACTTGAACCCAGGAAGGGGACGTTGCACTGAGCTGAGATCACTTGGGTGAACTCTAGCTTGGGTGACAGAGTAAAACTCCATCTCAAAGAGAGTTTTTTTTTTGAGGGGGTGGGCGGGGACAGAGTCTCGCTCTGCGGCCCAGGCTGGACGGCAATAGCACGATTTTGGCTAACCACAAGCTCCGCCTCCCAGGTTCAAGTGATTCTCCTGCCTCAGCCTCCCAAGTAGCTGGGATTACAAGCACCCAGCACCACACCCGGCTAATTTTTGTATCTTTAGTAGAGACGGGGTTTCACCATGTTGGTCAGGCTGGTCTTGAATTCCTGACCTTGTGATTCGCCCGCCTCGGCCTCCCAAAGTGCTGGGATTACGGACGTGAGCCACTTCACCCGGCCTAAGAGTAGATTTTAAGAGCTCTCACCACAAAAATAAAATGTATGTAAGGCAATACATATGTTAATCAGCTTGATTGAGCCATTCCAGTATATAAATATTTCAAAACATGTGGTTCAAGATCATATATAGACCAGGCATGCTGGCTCATGCCTGTAATCCGGGCACTTTGGAATGCCGAGGTGGGCAGGTCACCTGAGGTCAGAAGTTCGAGACCAGCCTGGCCAACATGGTGAAACCCCATCTCTACTGAAAATACAAAAATTAGCTGGGCGTGGTGGTTGGTGCCTGTAATCCCAGCTACTCGGGAGGCTGAGGCAACAGAATTGCTTGAACCCGGGAGGCAAAGGTTGCAGTGAGCTGAAATTGTGCCATTGCACTCCTGCCTGGCCACGAGAGTGAAACTCCATCTCAAAAAAAAAAAAAAGGGCTGGGCGCAGTGGCTCATGCCTATAATTCCAGCACTTTGGGAGGCCGAGGCGGGTGGATCACGATGTCAAGAGATCAAGACCATCCTGGTCAACGAGGTGAAACCCCGACTCTACTAAAAATACAAAAAATTAGCTGGGCATGGTGGCACGTGCCTGTAATCCCAGCTACTCGGGAGGGTGAGGCAGGAGAACTGCCTGAACCCAGAAGGTGGAGGTTGAGGTGAGCCGAGATCATGCCATTGCACTCCAGTCTGGGCAACAACAGCGAAACTCCGTCTCAAAAGAAAGAATAAAATATACCCACAAATTATCTGATTCTCCCCTCAAAATAGGCTACCTAAGTCATCTACCCTTTAGGGAGAGTTGGACTTAAGTGACTTGCATCTAACAAGTTAAAAAAAAAAACTAAGTGACAATGTACAGTCAAATACTAGGCTGTAAAATGCATTGTGGCTTCTCTCTTGCTCTCTTTCTTGGTCCATTCCATCCGGAGGAAGCAGCTGCTATGTCACAAGGACTCATCTAGCAGCTCCATGGAGAGGAACCGAAACTTCCTGCCAACACGTGAGTGAGTGAACCATCTTGGAAGCAGAGCCTCCCACCCAAATCCAGTCTTCAAATGACTGCAGCCCCACATAAAAGACCCACCTGGAAGAACCACAAAGCTAAGTAAGCCACTTTCCAATTTCCAACTACAGAAACTGAGATAACATATATTTGTCATTTTAAGCCACTAAGTTTTGCTATAATTTGTTTCACGGCAATAGATAATCAATATAATACATAACCGATTACACATTACTATATGCTGATTAGGGTCTCATAAAAAAGGCAAACGTTTGAAATGCAAAGTGGCAAATAAGGAGATAAGTGAAACTCAATGAACAAATCCAAAACTTTCTTAAATCCATCTATTGATGTTTTGATTGCCATGCTGTGTGGCCATGAGCAAGTTGCAACTTCTCTGTGCTTGTTCCTTGATTTACAAACAAGCTGCTATCAGGTTGCATAAGATGTCTAAAAGCACTTAACACAGTACCTGACATATGCCAGGGTTCAAAAATATTTTTAGGGCCAGGCATGGTGGCTCATGCCTGTAATCCCAGCACTTTGGGAGGCCGAAGCAGGAGGATCACATGGTCAGGAGATCGAGACCATCCTGGCCAACATGATGAAACCCCATCTCTACTAAAAATGCAAAAATTCGCTGAGCATGGAGGTGCACATCTGTAATCCCAGCCACTTGGGAGGCTGAGGCAGGAGAATAGCTTGAACCTGGGAGGCAGAGGTCATAGCAAGCTGAGATTATGCCACTATACTCCAGCTTGAGCGACGGAGTGAGATTTCATCTCAAAACAAGACAAAACAAAACAAAACACTGAAAAAAGCAGGCCAGGCATGGTTGCATGTACCTCAGGAGGCTGAGGTGAGGAGAAACACACGAGCCCTCTGGTTTGAGTATAGCCTGGACAACATAGCAAGACCCCCATCTCCCACCACCAAAAAACTGTAAAGCTGCACTAATTCTCAGTATATCACACTGTTTCTAGAACTAATGCAAAAAAGTTATTTATACATTCTCTGAAAGTAGTTAAGGAACCTGCAATGCATATGCACAGAATATTTAGGTATTTTTACCCAAAAAATTCCTGTTGGGCAATTTCAGAAACCCTTCATAGAGTTCCAGTAGTATACTGGAACTGTGAAATCTGCATTCTACATTATACTAATTTATATTGGATAGTCTAATATATAAATACTTTATCGTTTCTAGAACAGAAGTTATATAATAAAATTATACCAGCAGTTCTTATAACTACTTACATTTCCTTCAAATGCCTTATTTCCTGAATTGTTTGAAAAGCAAGTTCTTGTAGCTTTTCTGGAGCAAAGCTATTACTTATTGCTTTTTGAAATACCTCATGGAGAACCGTACCAATCAGCATTTGGCGTGTGGCTGGCTCAGAGCTCTATAAAAACAAATCACATAATTTATTTCACAGCATATTAACAGACACAATTATATATTTACTACCCAATCTACTAAACCACCATAGCCAAAATGCAGTGGTAAGACAAATGCCAAAATATTAAACAATTTTTTTTCTGGTGGGAGGAATTATATCACTTTCTTCTATTCAGAATTATCTGAATTAATGTATGAATTACTTTTTTTTTCCTTTTTTTTTTAACTGAGTCTGGCTCTGTCACCCAGGCTGAAGCATAGTGGCATGATCTCAGCTCACTGCAACCTTCACCTCCCAGGTTCAAATGATTCTCATGCCTCAACCTCCTGAGTAGCTGGAATTACAGGTATGTGCCAACTTTTTTTTTTGGATTTTTAGTAGAGACAGGGTTTCACCATGTTGGTCAGGCTGAGTATGAGTTACTTTTAAAATCAACATTCTCCATTTTGAAAAAAATTAAGACAACAAATATTTAAAACTTCAAAATATTCTCAAATAATTAATATTTTTCAAGTATTGTTCTCTTAACTTGAAAATCCACCCAATAGAAAAGTCAATAGACTGGGCACAGTGGCTCAGGCCTGTAATCCCAGTACTTTCGGAGGCCGAGGAAGGCAGATCATGAGGTCAAGAAATCGAGACCATCCTGGCCAGCATGGTGAAACCCTGTCTCTAGTAAAAATACAAAAAAATTTGCTGGGCGTGGTGGCGCATGCCTATAGTCCCAGCTACTCGGGAGGCTGAAGCAGAATAGCTTGAACCCAGCAGGCATAGGTTGCAGTGAGCAGAGTTGACACCACTGTACTCCAGCCGGACGACAGAGTGAGACTCCATCTCAAAAATAATAAAAAATAAAAAGCCAGCGCAGTGGCTCATGCTTGTAATCCCAGCACTTTCGGAGGCTGAGTCAGGTGGATCACTTGAGGCAGAAGTTGTGGTGAGCCTAGATCGCACCATTGCACTCCAGCCTGGGCAACAAGAGTGAAATTCTGTCTTAAAAAAAAAAAAAAGTCAGTAAAGACATACATAGATGATAAACTCATGTAAGCAAAAGATACCATTCAAGGCCAGGCATTGTGGCTCACACCTGTAATCCCAGCACTTTGGGAGGCCGAGGCGGGCAGATCATTTGAGGTCAGGACTTCAAGTTCAGCCTGACCAACATGGTGAAACCCCGTCTCTATTAAAAATACAAAAACTAGCTGGGCGTGGTGGTCCGAGCCTATAATCCCAGATACTCAGGAGGCTAAGGCAGGAGAATCACTTGAACCTAGGAGGCGGAGGTTGTGGTGAGCCTAGATCACGCCAATGCATTCCACCCTAGGTGACAGCAAGACTCCGTCTTTAAAAAAAAAGAGATACCATTTAAACCTACTTAGCAGTAATGTTTGGGAAGAAAAAAATTTTTTTTTACCTACAGTAGACATTTTTGGCAAGAAATTTTTCTTCACTCAGAAAGAAATAGTACTCCATATCCTAATTAACCCTTCTATTAGCCTAGACATCTCTGTTGAAGCTAACAAAAAAACTAGATGAAGTTCACCAAAATATTCAGCAGAAATTTTAAAAATTAAATGACAGAGGAACTTTCTGTACTATTTTTCAAGTTCTATATGAGTCAAAAATTTTATTTAAAAAAAAAAAAGATTTTTACAACTTAATATTCAGGCGGAGTACAGTGGCTCATGCCTATAGTCCCGGCTACTCAGCAGGTTGAGGTGGGAAGATTACTTGAGCCTGGGAGGTCAAGGCTTCAGTGACTCACTGCACTCCAGCCTGGGTGACACAGTGAGACTATGTCTCAAAATGAAATAAAATAAAACTGCATGTTTCAAGAAAAATAAATAAAAACCTGGGTATTGGGTACATGGGAGTTTATTACAATCATCTCTTTGTATGTTTGAAATAGCCCAAAATACATTTTGTTTGTTTTGAGACAGAGTCTTGCTCTGTAACCCAGGTTGGAATGCAGTGGCATGATCTCAGCTCACTGCAACCTCTGTCTCCCGGGTTCAAGTGATTCTCCTGTCTCAGCCTCCTGAGTACCTGGAATTACAGGTGCACATTACCACACCCAGCTGATTTTTATATTTTTAGTAGAGGTGGGGTTTCACCATGTTGGCCAGGCTGGTTTCGAACTCTGCCCACCTCAGCCTCCCAAAGTGCTGAGATTATAGGCATGAGCCACCACGCCTAGCCCTAAAATACATTTTTTAGAAGAGACTTCTAAAAATGTGGACGTTTAGTGGGAATTACATGAAGCCAAGTTTGGAATTGTCTAGGTGTGTTTAAATTTAAAACTTTATCATTTAAATTATTTTTCTATTATAATTATTTATTTTATTAAGCCCTAAACAAGACTCACAGGACTCAGGAAGCTGGCCTTTAATCTCAGCACTGCCACTTCATTGTTACCTGACTATGGGTAAGTCGCTTAACCTCTCTGAGCCCATTTTCCTCATCTATAAAATGCAGCTGATTAATACCATTTATTTTTTAGGGCTGGTGGGAGGATTAAGTGAAATAAGAAATGTAACAGTACTCTGTAAACTCTCAGACCCTGCAGAAATATTAACTGTTACTATTATTTACCCTAAAAGTTTCGCTCAGGACAGCTCTTCTCATACATCGAATACTACTGGCTATGCTTGTGCCAGAAATCAGCATGTCTGGATACAAAATCAAATATCCAAAATCTTTATCTATTATCCAAGTATCAGATGTGCACTCTCCCTCCAAATGAATGATATCTCCTGGCTCTACTGATACAGAACACCTGAAAATAAAGCAAAGTTAAAGTGTAAATACATTGTTTAGGTTCCTACATTTAAACATACTAGGCACTGGGCACAGTGGCTCACGCCTGTTATCCCAGCACTTTGGGAGGCCAAGGTGGGCGGATCACAAGGTCAGGAGTGCAAAACCAGCCTGGCCAACATGGTGAAACCCCGTTTCTACTAAAAATACAAAGATTAACTGGGTGTGGTGGCATGTGCCTGTAATCCCAGCTACTCGGGAGGCTGAGGCAGGAGAATCACTTAAACCCAGGAGATACAGGTTGCAGTGAGCCGAGACTGTGCCACTGCACTCCAGCCTGGGTGACACACTGAGACTCCATCTCAAAAAATATGTATATATACTATATATGATATATGATAGTATATATATATATCGGAGGCGTCAAAAAAAAAATAAATGAGTATTTTACCTGAAGAAGAAAAAAATCATTTCTAAATTTCTGGATCTTAAAAAATATTCACATACCAGGATACTGTCTTCTTTTTTTTTTTTTGAGACAGTCTTGCTCTGTCGCCTAGGCTGGAGTGTAACGGTGGGATCTTGGCTCACTGCAACCTCTACCTCCTGGGTTCAAGTGATTCTCCCTGACTCAGCCTCCTGAGTAGCTGGGATTACAGGTGCATGCCACCACACCCAGCTAATTTTTGTAGTTTTAGTAGAGACAGGATTTCACCAAGTTGGCCAGGCTGGTCTCGAACTCCTGACTCAGGTGATCCACCTGCCTCGTCCTCCCAAAGTGCTGAGATTACAGGCATGAGCCACCATGCCCAGACTAGGATACAGTTTTCTAAATCAACTCCTAGTTACTCTACTCCTTTCTTTTTTCTTTTTTTTTTTTTGAGACGGAGTTTTGCTCATCACCCAGGCTGGAGTGCAATGGCGCGATCTCGGCTCACCGCAACCTCCGCCTCCTGGGTTCAGGCAATTCTCCTGCCTCAGCCTCCTGAGTAGCTGGGATTACAGGCACGCACCACCATGCCCAGCTAATTTTTTGTATTTTTAGTAGAGACGGGGTTTCACCATGTTGACCAGGATGGTCTCGATCTCTTGACCTCGTGATCCACCCGCCTCGGCCTCCCAAAGTCCTGGGATTACAGGTGTGAGCCACCGCGCCCAGCCTCCACTCTACTCCTTTCGACGTGTCAAACACATGTGAGAAAACTCAAAGATCTTCTATAAATCCCAAAAAGAAAAATGACTTAGTGACAGCAAGGTCTACTGCAAAAGCTATCAAACCTTTGCTAATGTAATACATAGCTCCAATTATGAATTGGGCTGTTTTAATAATTAATTTTGTCTTAAGACTTATAGGAAATCTACAGCTTCTACAAGGCTTGAAGCATGAAGCCAAACCCAGTGTAGCAATAATAAAATCATATTGAACTAACAGTCTAGACCAAAGAGCCAAAGTTAGACCTCTAGCTTTTTTGCAACTACCTCACATATCACACTTCAAGTAGAAAAATCTAAGGCCTAAGAATGTTCATATGTTTTAATTAATTTTGCTCTTAGTTAAAACTAACATGAGTTTAAACTGCAATCTTAGAATGTACTGGGAAATAGGAAGCACTCATGTACTTTGTAAATGATTTTCAAATGACAACCAAAGTCAATTTTTGGAATATGAGACTTGAGATACAAGAGTAATAGATACAAGTTTCATGCAGAATTAGGCTAGGATAAAATCTACTCTCTTTTAAACAATTAAGTTATAGTAACAGTCACAGAAGCCATTTGATAAGTTTTATGATGGTACCCTTAAGACTCAAATTGGTGCTCCAAGTTGCATAAAAATTACCAGTCGTTCCTAAGGATGCATAGTTCTTTATTTTCTAGCGACTGCGAAGCAGTGATGACCAGGTGCTTTTCACAGTTTCCCTCTTTGTTCTGTACAGTATTGACTGCCAACACCAGGTACCGGTTATCCATTCCTCGGCTCAGAACCGTTCTAGGAAAGGAAGCTACCACTTTCTTCTGAAATCTAAAGCACACACATACAAAATTATTTGAGCACAACCATGAAATAAGAAGCCATCCAATCTGTTTTATCTACAAACCAATTTTCCAGTTTTCTAGGTTTCTTTCTTCTGAAAACCTATTGCAATGACATTTAGCCAAAATAGGTAAAATTAATAGAGCAAAAACACAGAAGAATTCCTATTATAAAAACTTCCCTGTCAGTGTACTTTATTCATCCGTTGCTGAAAAAAAAAAAAAAAAAAAAAAAAATTCTAAAAAAAGAAAAAAAAGCTTCCCAAAAGTAATGCTATTTAAAATACGCTCATGGGATGAGATTTTCTATTTTAATTTCTGTAAGGAGTTCTGTAGGACACCAATGCAATAAGGATTAAGAATAAACTGGAAGCCCAGCATGATGGTGCACGCCTATAGTCCCAGCTACTCAAGAGGCTGAGGTGCCTGAGTGCAGGAGTTTGAGGCTGCAGTGAGATATGATCATGCCACTGCACCCCTTCCTGAGCAACTGAAAAAGATCCCGTTTCTGGGGGGTAAAAAGGAAAAAAAGAAGAAAGTATAAATTGGATAATATTAAACAAGAAATTTCTACCACTGGTGCAAACCTTCCCAAAGTACAAATAAAAGCAGATGTGTTGGACATGATCCTTTTTGTAAATATGAGACTCATGTTACGGAAAAGTGTAGTGTCCATGGTTTGCTGAATTTCTACCATGAGCCACAGAATTGTAATTAGAAATCATTTAGCCCAACCTACCAATGTAATGCCGGAAATCATTCGATAAAATCTCACTGGGGGCCGGGCGCGGTGGCTCACGCCTGTAATCCCAGCACTTTGGGAGGCCGAGGCGGGTGGATCACGAGGTCAAGAGATCAAGACCATCCTGGTCAACATGGTGAAACCCCATCTCTACTAAAAAAATACAAAAAAATTAGCTGGGCATGGTGGCGCGTGCCTGTAATCCCAGCTACTCAGGAGGCTGAGACAGGAGAATTGCCTGAACCCAGGAGGTGGAGGTTGCGGTGAGCCGAGATCGCACCACTGCACTCCAGCCTGGGTAACAAGAGCGAAACTCCGTCTCAAAAAAAAAAAGAAAAGAAAAAAGAAAACAGCCCTTCTCAGCCAGGCGCGGTGGCTCACGCCTGTAATCCCAGCACTTTGGGGGGGCCAAAGCAGGCCGATCACCTGAGTTCAGGAGTTCAAGACCAGCCTGACTCAACATGGTGAAAAGCTGCCTCTACTAAAAATACAAAATTTAGCCAGGCGTAGGCGGGCGCCTGTAATCCCAGCTATGTGGGAGGCTGAGGCAGGAGAATCGCTTGAACCCAGGAGGCAGAGGTTGCAGTGAGCCGAGATCGCGCCATTGCACTCCAGCCTGGGCTACAAAGCTCTGAGAGTCTGTCTCAAAAAAAAAAAAAAAAAAAAAACGGTAAAAAGAAAGCCCTTCTCCTATTAAGTAATATTAAGTAAACTTAAATCCTCTTAAATCTTCCTTGTTTGAGGGCGGCATCAGTGAGGGACCAAAGGAGGGTCTAGTGTCATTCATTACCTCTCCAGTGATAGACAACACCAAAGGCCTTTCACATTATCCTATAAGTTATCCTTTGTTACTGACTGTAGATTCTATAGTTTTGCAAACGCTTTACTCAAATACTCCACCTAGTCTCAGGCCATGAATTTCCCAAGATTGGCTATGATGCCTTAAAGATGTTTCTCAAAAGATATTTCTGATCAAAAGCCCAAACGCAAAAGTCCCTCAAGGCTAATTAACATTATTGCTATAATACTGAAAAAATTCCACATTACGACCGTGGTTAAATTCCTCTGATCATTATATACACCATGCTGAGTGTGCAGAGTTCTCCCAAGGATAAATTAATCCAACTAAAATCGAGGAAAGCCTAGGGCGGTTGCAATTTCCTATCATGAAGACATTTCAGTGGCTGAAACTCCCCAAATTAGGGAAAGTGGTGAATTTCAAGGGAAAGAATAAACTCCTGGGGGAGGGAGAGTCGAGGCTCTAGCTGAGTGTGGCCCTAAAGAACACCTTGAGACGCGGGCCCTGGCTCTGGAGACCCATTGGGTGCCCGGAGAGCTGCGCGGGGTCCATGGGCCCCGGGCCGGGTCAGACTGGGGCAGCGTGAGCGCCGCCTCTCCCGCTCCTTCTTTCAAATCTCCCGCTTTGTTCCCAAACCCTCCCCGCGGTCCGCTCACAGCTCCGCCGGCAGCGCAGCCTCCTCCCCAAAACTCTTCTCCATCAGCAGCTCCAGTTCGTCCAGGGGCTCCATCCTGGACGCTGGGAGAGCAAACTGTAGTCAAGAAAACTGAAACCGGGTCGAAGCAGCAGACTCAAAGGGAAAGGGGCGCGAGTTTGCGCGCATCATGCGCATGCGCCAATCCACCGAGGTCAAATGACCTGCGCCTGGCCACCCCTCTCGCGCCGGCGCGTTCCACTTGGGGCGCCTGAGCAGTAGGGCGCTGATTCCCGCCTAAGCTCCCGTGCTTAGGACTGGGTATACAGGGAGTCTTCATATCTGACGCAGACTAAACGCTCCTGCCTTCTCTCTTTCCTCCAACCCGTGTCCGACACACGCTTAGTTTCAAGAGAACCACTTGTAGTTTCCCAAAACCAGGCATCCCTTGTTAGCCTTCAGAATTGTGCTCTCCCTGGAAAACAGCTTCTCCCCTTTTCTTCAGAAAATTCATTGAGAATATAGAAACTGTCAGAGAGGAACTCCTTGATCATGCCATGATTAAATCTACATAACTTTTTTTTCTTTTTTTTGAGACGGAGTCTCACTCTGTCACCCAGGCTGGAGTGCAGTGGCGAGATCTCGGCTCAGTGCAACTTCTGCCTGCTAGATTCAAGCAATTCTCCTGCCTCAACCTCCCAAGTAGCTGGGACTACAGGCACATGCTACCATGCCTGGCTAATTTTGCTATTTCTAGTATAAACGGGGTTTCACCATATTAGCCAGGCTGGTCTCGAACTCCTAACCTTGTGATTCGCCCACTTCGGCCTCCCAAAGTGCTGGGATTACAGGCTTGAGCAACTATGCACAGCAACATTCACTATTTCAGCATTAAGTATGATGCTAGCTGTAGGTTTTTTTAATGGATCCCTTTATCCAATGCTATATAAAAACAAAAGCAACACTAAGGAACACAACAAAACTCAAAAACTTGGTGGCTTACAGTAACAATCATTTATTTAGCTTATGAATCTGCAATTTAGGAAGGATTCTGTGGGTGAAGGCTTGTCTGTTCCACACAGCATTAGTAAGGGCTGAAAGATCTGATCTGAAGATGATTTACTCAGATGGCTAAAAAGTTGGTAATTCCTCTGTAGGGGCTGCTTGGCTCTCTCACAGCATAGTATCTGGATTCCAAGAGCAAGTGTTCCAAGACCATGTGGAACTTGTTTTAGCTTTATGACGTGGCTTTGCAAGTGACATAACATCACTTCCACGGTAGTCACAGGCCCACTCAGCCAAATACAAGGGAAGGGAACACAATTCCTACCTCTTGATGGGACGTCAATGACACACAAGAAAAGCATATGGGGCCTGGTGGCTCACACCCACAATCCCATCACTTTGGGAGGCCGAGGCAGGTGGATCAACACAGTTTAGGAGTTTGAGACCAGCCTGGCGAACATGGTGAAACCCCATCTCTACTAAAAATACATAAATTAGCCAGGCATGGTGGTACACGGCTGTGATCCCAGCTACTTGGGAGGCTGAGGTAGGAGACTTGCTTGAACCCAGGAGGCAGAGGTTACAGTGAGCCAATATCATGCCGCTGCACTCCAGTCTGGGCAACACTGACGTTCCATCTCAAAAACAAAAAAAAAGCATATGAATATGAATTGGGATGTGTTGTGGTCATTATTGGAAAATATAAAAGTATAATCTGCCAAAATTTCTTCTATTAGATTGAGAAAGAACCCTTCTATTCTGAATATGAATTACTCTGATAATGAATCAGTGCTGGATTTTGTCAAGCAGCTATTGCATCTCTGGAAGGACTGTATGGTTTTTCTCCTTTATTCTGTTATTATGAGAAGCTTTACCACCGATTTTACAATGTTAAAAAAACTTGGCAATCCTAGGACAAACCCACATTGGTCATGATACAATAAATGTTTTATGTATTGCTGGATTTCATTTACTCTGTTTTTAAGAATTTTCCATCTATGTTGGTTTTTTGGTTGTTAAGTGTTTGTTTTTTGAGACAGGACTTGCTCTGTCACCCAGGTTGTAGTGCAGTGGCACAATCACAGCTCGCTGCAGCCTCCATCGGCTGGGCTCAAGTGATTCTCCCCTATCAGCCTCTCAAGTAGCTGAGACTACAGAAATATGCCATCACACACAGCTAATTTTGATTTTTAGTAGCCACAAGCTCTTGCTGTGTTGCCCAAGCTGGTCCTGAACTCCTAAACTCAAGCAATCCTCTCAACTTAGTCTCCCAAAGTGCTGGGATTATGGGCGTGAACCACACCCGGCCCATCTATGTTCTTGAAGGATAGTGATCTGTAATTTTCTTTTTAGTAACATCATTGTCAGGTTTGAGTATCCAGGTTATACCAGCATCATAAAATGAGTTGGGAATGCTCTCTCTTCTAATTTCTAAAAGTTTGTGAAATTATTCCTTAGCTATTTAGTAGAATTCACTACCTAGCCCTGGAGTTTTCTTTGTGCAAAGGCTTTTTATGATGAATTCAGTTTCTTTTTAGTTAATTTTTTGAGACAGGGTCTCACTCTGTCACCTAGGCTGGAGTGCAGTACTATGATCACAGCTCACTGCAGCCTTGACCTCCCTAGACTCAGTTAATCCTCCTAACTCAGCCTCCCAAGTAGCTGAGACTACAGGTGAATATCACTATGCCCAGGTATATTTTTAAAAACAGACACAGGGTCTCACAGTTGCTTGGGATGGTCTCAAAATCTTGGGCTCAAGTGATCCTCCCAATTTGGCCTCCCAAAGTGCTGGGATGACAGGCATGAACAACCGTGCCTGGCCTCAGTTTCTTTAATTGGCTATGCAGATTTTGTTTCATCTATGTCAGTCTTGGTTGGGTTTTTCAAACTATTTTTCCATTTCACCTAAACTGTCAAATTTCTTTTTTCTTTTTTGAGACAGAGTTTCGCTCATTTCCCAGTCTGGAATGCAATGGCGCGATCTTGGCTCACCGCAACCTCCGCCTCCTGGGTTCAGGCAATTCTCCTGCCTCAGCCTCCCGAGTAGCTGGGATTACAGGCACGCGCCACCATGCCCAGCTAATTTTTTATATTTTTAGTAGAGACGGGGTTTCACCAGGTTGACCAGGATGGTCTCAATCTCTTGACCTCGTGATCCACCCACCTCGGCCTCCCAAAGTGCTGGGATTACAGGCTTCAGCCACCGTGCCCGGCCTTTTCTTTTTTTTAAGACAGGTTCTGGCTCTATTGTCCAGGCTGGAGTACAGCATAATCTTGGCTCACTGCAACCTTCCCCTCCCAGCCTCAAGCCATCCTCCTACCACAGGCACATGCAAACACACCCAGCTAATATTTATATTGTTTGTAGAGATGGTGTTTCACCATGTTGGCAAGGGTGGTCTCTAACTCTTGAGCTCAAGCTGTCCGCCCACCTTGGCCTCCCAAAATTCTGGGATTACAGGCATAAGCCACCACATATACTTAGCCCCTGTTATCTTTTCTGTTTGTGGAGTCTCGCTCTGTGGCCAGGCTGGAGTGCAGTGGTGCAATCTCAGCTCACCGCAACCTCCGATTCCCAAGTTTAAGTGATTCTCCTGCCTCAGCCTTCCAAGGAGCTGGTACTACAGGTGCCTGCCACCATGTCCAGCTAATTTTTGTATGTTTAGTCAAGATGGGGTGTCACCATGTTGACCAGGATGGTCTCGATTTCTTCACCTCATGATCCTCCTGCGTCAGACTGCCAGAGTGCTGGGATTACAGGCGTGAGCCTCCACACCCAGCCTGTCTTTTAAACATCAGTAGGATCCACAGTGATGTCCTCTTTCTCATTCTTGAGATTTAGGGTTATTCTATTGTCTTTTTTATTTTTATTTGTTTTAACTGCAAACCATCATTGAAAAAGCAGAGTGATCTTTGTAAAAAGATAATCACACAATGATACTCACCAGCTGAAAACCTTCAATAGTTTCCCATGAACTTTTTTTTTTTGAGATGGAGTCTCACTGTGTCACCAGGCTGTAGTGTAGTGGTGCGATCTTAGCCCACCGCAAACTCTGCCTCCCAGATTCAAGAGATTATCCTGCCTCAGCCTCCTGAGTAGCTGGGCTTATAGGTGTGCACCAACATGCCCAGCTAACTTTTGTATTTTTTTTTGTTGAGACGGAGTTTCACTGTTGTTACCCACACTGGAGTGCAATGGCATGATCTCGGCTCACCACAACCTCCGCCTCCTGGGTTCAAGAAATTCTCCTGCCTCAGCCTCCCGAGTAGCTGGGACTATAGGCGCACACCACCATGCCCAGCTAATTTTTTGTATTTTTTAGTAGAGATGGGGTTTCACCTTGTTGACCAGGATGGTCTCGATCTCTAGACTTCGTGATCCACCTGCCTCGGCCTCCCAAAGTGCTGGGATTATAGGCGTGAGCCACCGCACCAACCTAAATTTTTGTATTTTTAGTAGAAATGAGGTTTCATATTGGCCAGGCTGGTATCAAACTCCTGATCTCAGGTAATCTGCCTGCTTCAGCCTCCCAAAGTACTGGGATTACAGGCATGAGCCACCACACCTGGCCTTCCCATTGCATTTAGAATAAAAGACAAAATCATTACTATATCCTGTAGACAGTTACATGATCTGGCCGTTGTCTACTTCTTTAACCCCATTTGTTGCTACTCCTTTACGCACAATATTTCAGTCACACCGGCCTTTTGGCAATTCCTAGTCAAACCAAACTTTTACCTGTTCCAGGGTTTTTGTACCTGGCATTCTCTTCACCTGAGACAGTCTTTTCCCAAAACTCTTTGCATTGCTCTTTCCTTTTTATCCTCCATGTGTCTACTCAAAGTATATATAGCACATAAAAGAAACCTTTCCCTGACCATTCTCAAGTAGCTTATTTACTATTTTCATAAGCACTTTCCACAAGCTGTAATTATTTTATTGCTTGATATGTTTATTGACATGTTCAAATTTAATGACATGTTATAGTTTCATCTGAACAGCATATTACAGTATTAGAGTATAGAACTGTAGCTAAAAGAATACGCTCTAGATTCAGACCGGCTGAATTTGAATCCTAGATCCATCACTCACATTAACCTGGACAAGTAATTTAATCTCCCCAGGCCTCGATTATTCCCATCTGTCAAAAGAAATTTAAATAGTACTCATATCGTAGTATTGTAATAGAGATTGAGTTAAGGCATCAAAGGTGCTTAAAACACGGAATGGCACATAATTCTTCAGGAAATATACATAACTGTAATTATTTGTCACCAGTTTCTAGTGCCCAATATGGTGTCTGGGATTCAAAGAACAGATGCGAGGGATCGTGTAAAGTGTATGCCTGATATATAAGTGTGTCAGGTGTTACTGACCCAACTCCACAAGGCAATGCATTAATTGTATAAAAGTTTGGGGAAAAAAATAAATAATTGTACATAGGATTAAAAAAAAATTTTTTTTCTTGAGACGGAGTTTCACTGTTGTTACCCAGACTGGAGTGCAATGGCACCATCTCGGCTCACCGCAACCTCCGCCTTCTGGCTTCAAGCAATTCTCCTGCCTCAGCCTCCTGAGTAGCTGGGATTACAGGCACACGCCACCATGCCCAGCTAATTTTTGTATTTTTAGTAGAGATGGGGTTTCACCATGTTGACCAGGATGGTCTTGATCTTTTGACCTCGTGATCCACCCGCCTCGGCCTCTTAAAGTGCTGGGATTATAGGCATGAGCCACCGTGCCCAGTCAAACATTTTTTTTTATATTAAAAAAATGAGTCAGGTGCGCTGGCTCAAGACTGTAATCCCAGCACTTTGGGAGGCCAAGGTGGTCACGAGGTCAAGAGATCAAGACCATCCTGGCCAACATGGTGAAACCCCGTCTCTACTAAAAATACAAAAATTAGCTGGCCATGGGAATTCGAGCCTGTAATTCCAGCTACTCTGGAGGCTGAGGCAGGAGAGCCACTCGAACCCTGGAGACACAGGTTGTAGTGAGCTGAGATCACGCCACTGCACTCCAGCCTGACGACAGAGCAAGACTCCGTCTCAAAAAAAACAGGCCGGGTGTGGTGGCTCACACCTGTAATCCAAGCACTTTGGAGGCCAAGGCAGATGGATCACCTGAGGTCAGGAGTTCAAGACCAGCCTAACCAACATGGTGAAACCGTCTTATATTTAAAAAAAAAAAGAAACAGAGACAGAGTTTTGGAACATTGCCCAGGCTGGGCTCAAATGCCTTGGCCCAAGTGATCCTCCCCACTCAGCCTCCCATAGGGCTAGAATTACAGACCTGAGCCACTTCACTCAGTCATAAATACTATTCATAGGTTTTATTATATATTTGCCACTCATTCTGGCAAATTAGCAAACCAAATGACTTTTCTGGGTTTTTTTTCTGTAAAGAATATTTTATTTTATATGACTTTCTTTTTTTCTAAATAGAGATGGGGTCTCGCTATGCTGCCCAGGCCGGAGTACAGTGGCTATTGACAGGCATGATCCCACTACTGATCAGCACGGGAGTTTTGACCTGCTCCGTTTCTGACCTGGGCCAGTTCACCCCTCCTTAGGCAACCTGGTGGTTCCCCACTCCTGGGAGGTCACCATACTGATGCCAAACTTAGTGTGGACACCCGATCGGCATAGCGCACTACAGCCCAGAACTCCTGGGCTCAAGCGATCCTCCCACCTCAGCCTCCCAAGTAGCTGGGCCTACAGGCACACACCACTGCACCCAGCGACTTTATTTCTAAATTGTTTATTTCTTGAACTATTTGTGCTTCATTTCTCCCTACTAGAACATAGTCTCCAAAAACAAGGACTGCCCCTTCCTTCTTCCCGACAGTAAACATCACTGAGTACCACAATGACACCACACACTCTATGCTCCCTGCCCTTGAGAAAAACAGACGGGGAGAGGTGGAAACATTGGTAAACAGGCAGTTATCATAAAGTGTGGCACAAGTACTTGTTAGCTGTACTTGCAATCTGATTGGATTCCCAAATCAGATTGCAAGTACAGCTTGCAAGCTTCCCAAGGGAAGTCCTCCATAATGCTGACACAACATCTGGCACACAAGTGGTGCTAAATAAATGAATGGTCAGTAGCTTGGTGAAGAATGGAATGAGGCCAGGTGCACTGACTCATGCCTGTAATCCCAGCATTGTGGGAAACCAAGGTGGGCGGATCACTTGAGGTTAGGTATTTGAGACCAGCCTAGCCAACATGGCGAAACCCGGCTCTACTAAAAATACAAAAATTAGCTGAGCGTGGTAGTGGATGCTTATAATCCCAGTTACTCGGGAGACTGAGGAAGGAGAATCACTATAACCCAGGAGGTGGCAGTTAGAATGAGCTGAGATCATACTACTGCACTCCAACCTGGGCGACAGAGTTAGGCTCTGTGTCAAAAAAAAAAAAAAAAGAAAAGAAAAGAGAAGAAAAAAAAAATATAAAACTTAGCTAGACATGGTAGCACATGGCTGTAATCTCAGTTACTTAGAAAGATGACAAAGGAGGCTGGGCACGGTGGCTCAAGCCTGTAATCCCAGCACTTTGGGAGGCCAAGGCAGGTGGATCACGAGGTCAAGAGATCGAGACCATCCTGGTCAACATGGTGAAACCCCGTCTCTACTAAAAATACAAAAAATTAGCTGGGCATGGTGGTGCGTGCCTGTAATCCCAGCTACTCAGGAGGCTGAGGCAGGAGAATTGCCTGAACCCAGGAGGCGGAGGTTGCGGTGAGCCGAGATCGCGCCATTGCACTCCAGCCTGGGTAATGAAAGCGAAACTCCGTCTCAAAAAAAAAAAAAAGATGACAAAGGAGAATCGTTTGAACCTGGGAGGTGGAGGTTACAGTGAGCCAAGATCATGCCACTGTACTCCAGCTTGGCAACCAAGTAAAACTCTATTATTTAAAAAAAAAAAAAGAATGTAATGAGATATTATTAAATATATCCAGTAACTCCATCTTCTCCAGGCAACCATTGAAAACTAGGAGGCAAACCTCATTTATCAATCCATAGACCAGACCACTGTCCCATTCTACAGACCAGAAAGCTATACCCACTGAGAGCTGGAAGAGAGGAATAATAAAGATCAAAAAAGACATAAAATCTCAATCTTCAAATGGAAGATAACCTGGCAAGATGCACTTTGGGTCATCTATCTGAAATAAATCATATATAAACAAAGTCATTATTTTAAACAGTCTTCCATTCTGACTTATGTTTAGCATCTGTGCTTCAACATGTAAACAGTTAAATTGTTAACACATGGATAAAATAAATTTTTAATATCTTCTGTATTCTATAACAGAAATAGAATGCAAATTATTATTTAAAAAACATTTGCAATCCCCTTTTACTGATAACATAACTGAGGTGCTTTTTTTTTTGGGGGGGGGCCCCTTCTTGCTCTGTCACCCAGGCTGGACTGCAGTGGCGCGATCTCAGCTCACTGCAACCTCCACCTCCTGGGTTCAAGCAATTTTCCTGCCTCAGCCTCCTGAGTAGCTGGGACTACAGGTGTATGCCACCACGCCTGGATAATTTTTTGTACTTTTAGTAGAGATGGGGGTTTCACTGTGTTAGCCAGCAAGGTCTCAATCTCCTGACCTCATGATCCACCCACCTCAGCCTCCCAAAGTGCTGGGATTACAGGCATGAGCCACCACGCCTGGCCCAATACTTGTTTTATATACTTAAATTATCTTAAGATTTAATAAGTAATTAACCACAGTGTGGTCTAGAAATGAAGCTACACAAAATGGTTTGAAGAACACATGTATTTTTTTTTTTTTGAGACAGAGTCTTGCTCGGCCGCTCAGATTGGAGTGCAGTGGCACAGTCTCAGCTCACTGCAACCTCTGCCTCCTGGGTTCAAGCAATTCTCCCTGTCTCAACCTCCCAAGTAACTGGGATTACAGGTGCCTGCACTATGACAGGCTAATTTTTATACTTTTAGTAGAGATAGGGTGTCTCCATGTTGGCTAGGCTGGTCTCAATCTCCTGACCTCAGGTGATCCACCTGCCTCGGCCTCCCAAAATGCTGGATTACAGGCGTGAGTCACTATGCCCGGCCAAAATAAAGACTTTCAAAGTGAAACCAGCTCATCAAATTTTTACCAAGATATGATGAGAAACCTTTTATGCAAAGAAATAAAAATTGAAGCAAAACTTTTAATTTTTTTGAGACGAAGTTTCACTCTTGTTACCAAGGCTGGAGTGCAATGGCGCGATCTCGGCTCACTGCAACCTCCGCCTCCTGGGTTCAGGCAGTTCTCCTGCCTCAGCCTCTGAGTAGCTGGGATTACAGGCACGCACCACCATGCCCAGCTAATTTTTTGTATTTTTTAATAGAGACAGGGTATCACCATGTTGACCAGGATGGTCTCGATCTCTTGACCTCGTGATCCACCTGCCTTGGCCTCCCAAAGTGCTGGGATTACAGGCTTGAGCCACCGCGCCCGGCCGACGCAAAACCTTCAACTTAGTTTTCTTTCATTTGTTTGAAAGAGACAGGGGTCTCACTATGTTACCCAGGCTGGTTTCAAACTCCTGGGGTCAAGATATCCTCCTGCCTCGGCCTCCCAAAGTGCTGGGATTCCAGGCGAGAGCCAACACTCCTGGCCTCAACTTAGTTTTCTAATGTCTTTTTTTTTCTTTTGAGATGGAGTCTCACTCTGTCACCCAGACTGGAGTGCAGTGGTGTGATCTCAGCTCATTGCAACCTTCACCTCCCTGACTCAAGTCTCAGCCTCCCCAGTAGCTGGGACTATAGGCACATGCCACCATCCTGGCTAACTTTTGTATTTTTAGGAGAGGTGGGTTTCACCATGTTGGTCTTGAACTCCTGATCTCGGGTGATCCAACTGACTCGGCCACCCAAAGTGCTGGGAATAAAGGTATGAGCCACCGTGCCTAGCCTTTTAATGTCTTGAAAATCACATCAATTCTACAAATTACTCTTTCTGAAGACAGAACTTTAAATGTTTCCTTCCTATTTCTGCCATGCTTATAATAAATCATAAAAAGTACTCTAAACACAATAAATGGAATTCTTACATTTTAAGCCATTTTCTTAATATAAAGGATAACAATTAAAATCATATTTTAAATTTCTACATCTTCATATTGCACTAAAATTATTTTACATGGAAGAACTAGTTGATGCATCATAACATAATACCTTAGAAACATTTTTTGATATTCACATCTATATTAATAAATATTTCACAGCCTACTTAAATATTCTTATATACAGAAAATCATCTAACAAAAACAAATCTGTAATGCTACTTTGTTTTTGAGAGCAAAGATATTCAGTATTTTTGTTTCTGCTTCTGTGAAACACACTGACTTTTAAAACACATGTAAGTCACTCATAGTACATAGTAATAACATTTGAGCAAAACTTATTCATTCATTTATTAAACGGGGTCTCATGATGTTGCACAGGCTCGCATGGAATTCCAGGGCTCAAGTGAACCTCCCACCTCAGCTTCCAGAGACGCTGGGACCACATGCCCATGCTACAATGCCTAGCTTCTTCATTTATTTTTGAGTCTCTACATGGCTACTTTTAAAATATACCCTTAATTTTATTTAAAAAATGAAAGAAAAAAAATGAAGGAAAAAGTGTGTTCTCTATCATCCAGTGGAGCAGAATAGTGAGAAGAGAGATAACAAAAATAAAACTTCAATGCTGGCTGTTTTATAGAACTTAAAAATTCAGTTCTCATTATTTTACTGCAATATAACCAACCCAGCTTATTTTAATAATAATAAACACTGTCAGTCTTTTAAAAACCAAGAATACAATTAAAAAATTTGAACAGGCAGGCACGGTGGCTCACACCTGTAATCCCAGCACTTTGGGAGGCTGAGAGGGAGTGGATCATGAGGTCAGGACTTCAAGACCAACCTGGCCAAGATGATGAAACCCCATCTCTACTGAAAATACAAAAAATTAGCCAAGCATGGTGGTGAATGCCTGTAATCTCAGCTACTTGGGAGGCTGAGGCAGAGAATTGCTTGAACCAGGGAGGCGGAGGATGCAGTGACCCAAGATCATGCCACTGCCTCCAGCCTGGACGACAGAGCAAGACTCTGTCTCAAAGAATAAAAAAAAAAAACTTTGAACAGCAAGAAAAAGCTAATGGCAACCTCTTGAACCCCGTTTTAAAGCTAGATCTACTTCCAAATAAAACTTTAAAGCAGTTTAGCCACCATCAGCTTAAAAATATTTTTTCAGTGGTCTAAGGTACAATGTTTGGCATCAAGAAGTATGGTAAGCACTTCTGATTTATGACTAAAGACAAAATAATCAAGTACTAAAATACCAGTGGTTCCTGTGACAGGGTAACTATCCCCATTCAAGTACTGTTCCCCCCACAATTAAAGTAACATTTCATTTCTCCCTCTGAGAATGTATTAAGAAAAACAAACCATTATTTTTTTTCAGTTGAGGTGAAAAAACTGCTTCATAAGTTCATATGTTGTAAAAGCTACTGCTTGAGAGGGAACACAGCGAATATAATTAAGAGATAAACCACGATAGAGTCCTTTCCGAATTCCATGGTGTCCATAGACATACTTCATAGTATCCCGCATGGTACTGAAAGACAATGATTAAATGATGACACCTCTATAGTCACTCATGAAGAAACAATTTCAGGATCCATAATATCAATTTTTTTTTTTTGAGACAAACTCTCGTCTGTTGCCCAGGCTGGAGTATGGATTACAGTGGCAGGATTGCAGCTCACTACAGCCTCCATCTCCTAGCCAAGCGTGGTGGTGGATTCAAGCAATTCTCCTGCCTCACCCTCCTGCCTCACCCTCCTGAGTAGCTGAGATTACAGGAGTATGTCACCATGCCCAATTAATTTTTGTATTTTAGTAGACAGGGTTTCAACAAGCTGGCAGGATGGTCTCGATCTGCACCCCTCTCAGCCTCCCAAAGCGCTGGGTTTACAGGCGTGAGCCACCGTGCCTGGCCATAACTGTTGCAATCTTTTTTTTTCTGAAATGGAGTTTTGCTCTCGTTGCCCAGGCTGGAGTGCAGTGGCATGATCTTGGCTCACTACAACCTCCGCCTCCCAGGTTCAAGCAATTCTCCTGCCTCAGCCTCCCGAGTAGGTGGGATTACAGTCATGCACCACCCATACCCAGCTAATTTTGTATGTTAAGTAAAGAAGGGGTTTCACCATGTTGGACAGGCTGGTTTCAAACTCCTGATCTCAAGTGATCCACCTGCCTCGGCCTCCCAAAGTGCTGGGATTACAGCTGTGAGCTACAGTGCCCGGCCAACTGTTGTAATCTTTAGCAGAGGCAGGGTTTCCCCACATTGCCCAGGCCAGTCTTGAACTTCTGACCTCAGGTGATCCATTCACCTCAGCCTCCGAAAGTGCTGGGATTGCTGGCGTGAGTCACAGCACCCCTCCACATTTTTTTTTTTTTTTTTTGAGACAGAGTCTTGCTCTGTCACCCAGACTGGCATGCAGTGGCACAATCTCGGTTCACTGTAACTTCCACTTCCTGGGTTGAGGTGCTTCTGCCTCCGCCTCCCAAGTAGCTGGGACTACAGGCACAAGCCACCATGCCTCTTAGAAGATGTTCCTGTTTCAGAGTTTTTCCTTTCCTTTCAAACCAATAATTTGGGTTTGGCCTTTTGCTTTCAATAGACAATCCAAACTGAAATCTTTTCAAAATTCTTTTTTTTTTTTTTTTTTTTAAGAGACATGTTCTCACTTTGTTGCCCAGGCTGGAGTGCAGTGAAAATCACAGCTCACAACAGCCTCTAACTCCTGGGCACAAGCAATCCTCCCACCTCAGCCTCTTGAGTAGCTGGGACTACAGGCACACACCACATGACTCACTACTTTTTTTTTTTTAGTTAAAATTTTTTTAGAGGCAAGATCTTACAATGTTTTCCAGGCTGGTCTCAAACTCCTGGGCTCAAGTGAACCTCCTACCTCAGCCTCTCAGGTAGCTGGATATTACAGGCATGAGGCAATGGCCCCAGCCCAAAAAAATCTTTTCGGTGAACAAGGCAACCCAAGTTCATGAACAAACGTTCTGCTCCTTCCCTGACAGACAACTTATCACCAATCAAATGGAATGGTTCTAAATCTCTACAAAGAAAACTCAGGAGCTGTGCTGTACAATAACAGTAGCCACTCTAGCCACATGTGGCTATTGAGCACTTGAAATGTGGCAGTCCAAATCAAGATGGGCTACGAGTATAAAATAAATCCTGGATTTCAAATACTTAGTATAAAAAATATATATATTGAGGCCTGGCGTGGTGGCTCACACCTGTAATCCCAACACTTTGGGAGGCTGAGATGAGTGGATCACTCAAGATCAGGAGTTCGAGACCAGTCTGGCCAACACGGTGAAACCCCATCTCTACTAAAATACAAAAATTAGCCAGGTGTAGTGGCACACACCTGTAATTCCAGCTGCTCAGGAGGCTGAGGCAGGAGAATCACTTGATCCAAGGAGGCAGAGGTTGAAGTGAGCCGAGATCATATTACTGAACTCCAGCCTGCCTAACAGAGACTCCACGAAAAAATACACACACACACACACACACACACACACACACAGAGAGAGAGAGAGAGAGAGAGACAGAGAGAGAAAGAGAAATGTTGAGATGATATTTTAGATATTCAAGGTTAAACAAAAAATATTTTTCACAATTACATATGTATTTCTTCTTTTGTTTTGCTTGAGACAGAGTCTCACTCTGTCACCCAGGCTGGAGTACAGTGGTACAACCACGGCTCACTGCAACTTCCACTTCCTGGATTCAAGCAATTCTCCTGCCTCAGCCTCCTGAATAATTTTTTTTTTTTTTAATTGAGTCTCGCTCTGTAGCCAGGCTGGAGTGCAGTGGTGTGATCGGCTCACTGCAACCCCCACCACCCGGTTCAAGCGATTCTCCTGCCTCAGCTCCCGAGTAGCTGGATACACATACGTACCACCATGCCCAACTAATTTTTGTATTTTTAGTAGAGACATGGTTTCACCATGTTGGTCAGGAAAGTCTCGATCTCTTGACCTTGCGATTTGCCTGCCTCAGCCTCCCAAACTGCTGGTATTACAGGCGTGAGCCACGGCACCCAGCTGTTTTTTTGTGTTTTGTTTTTTGAGACAGAGTCTCTGTTGACCAGGCTGGAATGCAGTGGCACCATCTTGGTTCACTGCAACCTCCACCTCCCTAGTAGCTAGAATTACAGGTGCTCGCCACCACCTCTGGCTAATTTTTGTATTTTCAGTACAGATGTATTTCACCATGTTGGCCAGGCTGGTCTCAAATTCCTGACCTCAGGTGATTTGCCCTCCTTGGCTTCCCAAAGTGCTGGGATTGCAGGCGTGAGCTATCGTGCCCAGCCCTAAATTAAATTTTAACAGGAGGATTCCAAGCTGACTGTAGGCCAGGCAAGGTGGCTCATACCTGTAATCGCAGCACTTTGGTAAGCCGAAGCAGGCAGATCACTTGAGGTCAGGAGTTTGAGACCAGCCTGGCCAACAAGGTGAAATCTTGTCTCTACCAAAAATACAAAAATTAGCCAGGCATGGTAGTGGGTGCCTGTAATCCCAGCTACTTGGGGGCTGAGGCAGGAGAATCACTTGAACTGGGAAGGTGGAGGTTGGAGTTAGGCAAGACCACACCCCTACACTTCACCCTGGGCAACCAAGTAAGACTACATCTCAAAAAATAAAAAAAAAAGACTCTGATTGTAATCTTATAAAGTTACCAAAATAAACAATAAACTTTGGGAGAGAAAATGGAAGATACAGACTATTGGTCAAACTAGAGTCCTATCGCCGTACTGACTTTAATGTTACATTTCCCAAAGAAAATGAACAATGACAATATGATGAACTTACAGGCACTTTTCAAATTCTGGCAGAACAGTTCCTAATTGCATTCGCCGACGAGTTACATCAAATGGGTAGCTAAAAGAAAAAAAAAAGCCAGGGGCGGGGGAGGGGGAAAAAAGGCATAAAGAACTAAAAACTTGTAGTTTTCTACTCAACAACTATTGAGTACAGAGCCCTATAAACTCAAAGATATAATGTCTTACTGTTCTTATTGTTCTGTTTAACCTAGGAGTCAGGATACAGGCACATGAATAAAATCAATTAACAATAGAGAGATCTTTGCTTATGTGATCCCTCTCATTAGAGGATTCTTCTCTCCCATCAAGTTCTGTTCATTCCTAAAGGCCAAATTAAATGCCACTTCCTGAAGAAACAAAATGGTTGCTTTTCATTATTGAATGCTAATATAGGGTTTCTCAACACTGGCACTATTGACATTTACTGCAGATGTTTAAGCAAATCCCTGACCTCTGCCCACTAGATGCCAGTAGCACTCTGCCAGGTGTGACAATCAAAAATACCTCCAGACATTAACAAATGTCCACTGGCAATAAAATCACTCCCCGTTGAGAACTGTTCTAAGGTTTTGCAGCAAGTCCCCTTGAATACAGCAGACCAATACAAAATTTTCATTAAGGACTAAAACTAATAATACAGATAATTGCATTTCATGTTGGCATTGCCTGAAGTTAAATACACAATATACAAATGGAATCTTTTTTTTTTTGAGACTGAGTCTTCCTTTGTTGCCCAGGCTGGAGCACAGTGGTGCAATCTTGGCTCACTACAACCTTCACCTCCAGGCTTCAAGAAATTCACTCCCTCAGCATCCAAGTAGCTGGGATTTCAGGCACCTGTCACCACACCCACCTATTTTTTTTTTTTTTTTTGAGACGGAGTTTCGCTTTTGTTACCCAGGTTGGAGTACAATGGCGCGACCTCGGCTCACCGCAACCTCCGCCTCCTGGGTTCAGGCAATTCTCCTGCCTCAGCCTCCTGAGTAGGTGGGATTACAGGCACCCGCCACCATGCCCAGATAATTTTTTGTATTTTTAGTAGAGACGGGGTTTCATCATGTTGACCAGGATGGTCTCGATCTCTTGACCTTATGATCCACCTGCCTCGGCCTCCCAAAGTGCTGGGATTACAGGCTTGAGCCACTGCGCCCGGCCAATTTTTGTATTTTTAGTAGAGACAGGGTTTCACCATGTTGGCCAAGGCGGTCTCAATCTCTTGACCTAGTGATCCGCCTGCCTTGAGCTCCGAAAGTGCTGGGATTATAGGCGTGAGCCACCACGCCTGGCCTCTTTCTCTTTTTTCTTAGGAACAGGGTCTCACTATGTCTCCCAGACTGGCCTCAAACTCCTGGCCTCAAGCAATCCTCCTATCACAGTCCCCAAGTAGCTGGGACAACAGGTAGCACTACTGCATCCAAACTTGTAATTATTTGTAATATGCTTAAAGTGCACACACATCTAAAAAAAAAGTATTAAATTAATACTTATATTTTACAAGGGATCCTCTTTTTGAATAATCTATTATATTCAAAAAGAAAAATAAATGATTAATCCATGTTGAAAATCAGGATTGGGTAATTGTAATTTGACTGAATTAAGTTGGTGAATAAACTTACGATATTGTCTGTGCTATTGCTCCAGCAACACCACCACAAAGTAAGTTTATGTGAGTTTTCAAAACTAAGACATTAGGATTGTCTGATGAAGGTCTGCCAAGAAGGGTAGGGGCATGGGAAAGCCCAACACTCTTTAAAGTACCAAAAGTGAAAAATGAAACACCTGGAAAACAAAAATAAATTCATCAGGATACTGAACAGAACATGAGCTGTGACAAAGACACCATTCTTATATAATAACCACATTTCCTAGTTTCTAATGTTTGGATTAATCTAAAATAAAAACATTTGTGCATACAAATAACCTAAAGACAACAAAATTACCACCAACAAAAAATTATAGCTTTGGTTTTCACACACCACTGCAGTTTACAGCACTGAAGGAGGCAGCAGTTAATATAATACCACTTTATATGTGAACAAAAATAAATATGTGAAACAAGGTTTCACATGAGAAAAATTAAATTCATTGTTATTTATTTTTTTTTTTTGAGATGGAGTTTCGCTGTTGTTACCCAGACTGGAGTGCAATGGCACGATCTCGGCTCACCGCAACCTCTACCTCCTGGGTTCAAGCAATTCTCCTGCCTCAGCCTCCCGAATAGCTGGGACTACAGGCGTGCGCCACCATGCCCAGCTAATTTTTTGTATTTTTAGTAGAGACGGGGTTTCACCTTGTTGACCAGGATGGTCTCAATCTCTTGACCTCGTGATCCACCTGCCTTGGCCTCCCAAAGTGCTGGGATTATAGGGGTAAGCCACCGCACCCGGCCTTGCTTGTTAAACATTACATGATTTTAATAGAACCATTAAGGATGTCTATTAATAAATATGAAAATCAAGCAGTCCTCCCAACTAACCATTACTCAAGATATTGTGATGTTTATTGAATTGGCCAGATGCGATGGCTCACGCCTGTAATCCCAGCACTTTGAGAGGCCCAGGTGGGTGGATCACTTGAGACCAAGAGTTCAAGACCTCCTTGACCAAAATGGTGAAACCCCATGTCTACTAAAAATACAAAAACTAGCCAGGCACAGTGGCACATGCTTGTAATTCCAGCTACTTGGGAGGCTGAGATAGGAGAATGGCTTGACACCGGGAAGGGGAGGTTGCAGTGAGCCGAGATCATGCTACGGCACTCCAGCATGGGCAACAGAGCAAGACTCCATCTGGAAAAAAAAAAAAAAAGGATGGCCAGGCGCAGTGGCTCAGTGCTGTAATCCCAGCACTTTGGGAGGCAGGTGGATCACAAGGTCAGGAGATCAAGACCAGCCTGGCCAATATGGTGAAACGCCATCTCTACTAAAATACAAAAAACTTAGCCGGGCGTGGCAGCCTGTGCCTGTAATCTCGGCTACTTGGGAGGCTGAGGCAGGAGAATTACAAAAACCCAGAAAACAAAGTTTGCAGTGAACCAAGATCACGCCACTGCTCTGCAGCCTGGGCAACAGAGCAAGATTCCATCTCAAAAAAAAAAAAAAACCAAAAAAGAACAAAAATTAGCTGGGCATGGTGGTGGACACCTATAGTAGCTACTCAGGAAGCTAAGGCAAGAAAATCTCTTGAACCCGGGAGGCGGAGCCAAGATCGCACTTGGGCAACAGAGCAAGACCTTGTCTCAGAAAAATAAAAATAAGATATTGTGATATTTATTAAATTGAAAAAAAAAAACATATATAAAAAGATACTTTATTTCCTTAAAGAGAGAGGGTCTCACTCTATCTCCCAGGCTGGAGTGCTGTGGTAGCTCACTGCAGCCTTAAACTTCTGGGCTCAAGTGATCCTCCCACCTCAGCCTCTCGAGTAGCTGGGATTACAGCATTGTGCCACCATGTCCAGCTAACTTTCAAAATCTTTTGTAGAAATGGAGGTCTTGCTTTGCTTCCCAGGCTGGTCTCAAAGTCTTGGCTCCAAGGGATCCTCCCACCTTGAACTCCCAAAGTGGTGGGATTATAATTGTCAACCACTGTGCCCAGCCTTAAAAAGACAGTTAATGTTTGCTTAAAAAGATGTGAGTACCAACAAATATTCAGTTTAGGATAATATCTCAATATAAAATTCTTATAATTTTTTTTTTTTAAACAGAGTTTCACTCTTTTGCCCAGGCTGGAGTGCAATGGTGTGATCTCGGTGGTTCACTGCAACCTAAGCCTCCCAGGTTCAAGCAATTCTCCTACTTCAGCCTCCCTAGTAGCTGAGATTACAGGCATGTGTCATCACTCCCAGCTAATTTTTTGTATTTTTAGTAGAGAAGGGGTTTCTCCATGTTGATCAGACTGGTATCAAACTCCCAACCTCAAGTAATCTGCCCGCCTCAGCCTCCCAAAGTTCTGGGATTACAGGCGTGAGCCACCATGCCTGGCCAAGAAGAGACTATTAAATAAAATGGTGCTAAGTCAGAAGTAAAGAAAAAACAAAAATTCCTTTACAGAGAAAACACACACTTCCAGACAGATTAGGGGCATACATATAAAACAATGAACATTAAAAATCATTCTCAGAAGAAAATATGTTTTTGACACAATAAGGACTATCCATAAAAGAATAGATTGATGCATTCAACTACGTTAAAATTTGAATTTCTGAACCACTAGAACAGTTACAAAAAAAAAAAGGCCGGGCGCGGTGGCTCATGCCTGTGATCCCAGCATTTTGGGAGGCCGAGGTGGGTGGATCAACTGAGGTCAGGAATTTGAGACCAGCCTGACTAACATCGTGAAACCCCATCTGTACTAGGAATACAAAAATTAGCCAGGCGTAGTAGCAGGTGCCTGTAATCCCAGCTACTTGGGAGGCTGAGACAGGAGAATCGCTTGAACCCGGGAGGCAGAGGTTGCAGTGAGCCAAAATCACACCACCGTACTCCAACCTGGGTGACACAGAAAGACCCTGTTTCAAAAAAAAAAATTTTTTTATTTTTCCAAACTGGACAGGGTCTTTGTTATTCAGGCTGGAATACAGTGGCATAATCACAGCCAACTATAGCTTCAACCTCCTGGGTTCAGGCAATACTCTTGTCTCAGCTTGCTAAGTAGCTGGGACAACAGGCATACACCACCAAGCAGGGCTAATTTAAAAAAATTATTTGTTTCAGATCTCATGAGACTTAAAGAAAAAACAAACAACAAAAAAATTATTTGTAAAGACAGATTCTCCCCATGTTGCCAACACTGGTCTCAAATTCCTGGGCTTAAATAATCCTCCTGCCTCAGCCTCCCAAAGTGCTGGGATTATACGTGTGAGCCACCATGCCTGGCCATACCACATTTTAGTTTGCTATTAGTGCACTGTTTTTTGTTTGTTTGATTTTTAGAGACAGGGTCTCACTCTGTCACGTAGGAGGCCATTATTTTGGATGAAGCTCCTGCACTAGGCCCTAACAGACCAGACTAAAAATCAAAACAGAGTCACCCATGATTAAGGTCCACACTACCAAACTAAAACTAGTTGTTATCTGACTTTCTGAGAAATTAGAAGAAAGAAGTAACAGTCAATTTCCCTAACAGGGCAGTTTCAATCTTGAATAAACTTGATAGTTAACTTCCCTCTGTTTTATTTATTTTTTTGGAGATGGGAGTCTTCTTCGCTCAGGCTGGAGTGCAGTGGTGTGATCTCAGTTCACTGCAACCTCTGTTTCCCAGGTTCAAGCAATTCTCCTGCCTCAGCCTCCCAAGTAGCTGGGATTACAGGCATGCACCACCACGCTTGGGTAATTCTTTTTTTTTGAGACGGAGTTTCACTCTTGTTACCCAGGCTGGAGTACAATGGCACGATCTCGGCTCACCGCAGCCTCCGCCTCCTGGATTCAAGCAATCCTCCTGCCTCGGCCTCCCAAGTAGCTGGGACTACAGGCATGCGTCACCATGCCCAGCTAATTTTGGTATTTTTAGTTACACCTTGTTGACCAGGATGGTCTCGATCTCTTGACCTCGTGATCCACCCGCCTCGGCCTCCCAAAGTGCTGGGATTATAGGCATGAGCCACTGCGCCCGGCCCCGCTTGGGTAATTCTTACATTTTTAGTAGAGAAGGGGTTTTACCATATTGGCCAGGCTGGTCTTGAACTCAGGACCTCAGGTGATCTGCCTGCCTTGGCCTCCCAAAGTGCTGGGATTACAAGTGTGAGCCACCACACCTGGCTCCTTCTACTTTAATGTGTACACAAAAAAGGTAGCCTAATGTAACCTGAAGTTAACCTGATTTTTCTATTTTATTCTCCCTGTCCCCAACTTCCAAGGATAGTAACTTTGAACTGAGCAACCTGCTTGTTGTTCATTGTTTCTGCTTTCTTCAACCTTCTATATATAAAATGAATTCCAGCCAGGCGGGATGGTTTACACCTGTAATCCCAACACTTTGGGAGGCCAAGGCAGGTGGCAAGAGATCAAAACCAATGGCTGGGCATGGTGGCTCACGCCTGTAATCCAAGCACTTTGGAGGCCAAGGCGGGCAGATCACCTGAGGTTGGGAGTTCAAGACCAGCTGACCAACATGGTGAAACCCCATCTAAAAAAAAGAAAAAAAGGCGGCACGGTGGCTCAAGCCTGTAATCCCAGCACTTTGGGAGGCCGAGGCGGGTGGATCACGAGGTCAAGAGATCGAGACCATCCTGGTCAATATGGTGAAACCCCGTCTCTACTAAAAATACAAAAAATTAGCTGGGCATGGTGATTTGTGCCTGTAGTCCCAGCTACTCAGTAGGCTGAGGCAGGAGAATAACTTGAACCTGGGGGCAGAGGTTTCAGTGAGCCAAGATTGTACCACTGCACTCCAGCCTGGCAACAGAGTGAGACTCCATCCCCACAAAAAAAATCAACTCCTTCTGATCTAGTCATTGCAATACTTACGAAATAAAGTTATTGCCCAATTCTAGAATTGCAAATAAAGCCAATTGAGATGTTTAAACTAAACTGGCTGCAATTTTGTCTTGTAACACAACTGCATGTAAATCCATAATTACCTCAAAATAAAAAGTTTAGTTAAAAAAAAAACAGAACTTCACTCACAAGACTTTCTTGGAAAAAAAAAAGGCTGACGCCCTTTTTGGCCTCAGCCCGCCTGTACCCAGGCGAATAAAATAAAAATTTAAAAATATGGCCAGGCGCGGTGGCTCACGCCTGTAATCCCAGCACTTTGGGAGGCCGAGGCGGGTGAATCACGAGGTCAAGAGATCGAGACCATCCTGGTCAACATGGTGAAACTCCATCTCTACTAAAAATACAAAAATTAGCTGGGCATGGTGGTGCACGCGCCTGTAGTCCCAGCTACTCGGGAGGCTGAGGCAGGAGAATTGCTTGAACCCAGAAGGCGGAGGTTGCAGTGAGCCGAGATCGCGCCATTGCACTCCAGTCTGGGTAACAATAGCAAAACTCCGTCTCAAAAAAAAAAAAAATAATTAAAAATAATAAAAAAGAAACAAAAACAAAAAGCAAACAGAACTGTTAACAAGGTAATAATGGAGACTAGAGAACTACAGGTATCCTTATTTTTCTTCTTTCTACTTTTCTATAGTTTCAAAATTTCCCATAAGCCTTCACTATTTATGAGACAAAAACTACTTTTCAACTTCTGTTTTTAATTAACATGCCCATAAAAACCAAATGCCTAACATCATCTAACGTAAGTGTGTGTTAACAAGACTACAGCTGGCTCAGATATTAAGAAAAAGATGTAAAAGTGCTTTTCTACTTCTTGTACATGAATAGTTATATTCAAATGCAAGATATTATTACGTGACCATACATAAATCATTTCTTATGAAAAGTACTTAACAGATAGCATCTATTTTTTTTTTTTTTTTGAGACGGAGTTTCACTGTTGTTACCCAGACTGGAGTGCAATGGCAAAATCTCGGCCCACCGCAACCTCCGCCTTCTGGGTTCAAGCAATTCTCCTGCCTCAGCCTCCCGAGAAGCTGGGTCTACAGGCGCGCACCACCATGCCCAGCTAATTTTTGTATTTTTAGTTTCACCTTGTTTGCCAGGATGGTCTCGATCTCTTAACCTTGTGATCCACCCGTCTCGGCCTCCCAAAGTGCTGGGAATATAGGCGTGAGCCACCGCGCCCGGCCCAGATAGCATCTTTTTATATTACCATTTCGGAAAAAAAAAAGAAGGTAACAAATTTTAAACATACAAATTAAGATTCTGGCAAATTTGAAACATACCTGCATATGGAGCCATTCCTAAAATAGTAGGCATCAGGCCTCTGTAAAATCCGAAGAAACCACCTTCCTTTTGAGTAAAGAAAAATTGCAAGTGATATTACATTGTGCTCATTATGATAAACATCAAAGAATAAAATCACACTTTATAATAGACAAATTATGCTGGGATCCACCCTGAAACACAAAGATTTGCTTTCATAATTATTATTAACATCAATAATTGTAAGTAAAAGAATAATTATTTATGTAACATTCAAAATATATTCCTAAGTATAAAAGGGCTCATTATAGTTGAGGAAGGTAAATATGAAATACCTTTGCATAAATAGTTTTGAATGCATGAATAATTCCTGTATAGGTGTGTTCCCCTTTCACCTGGAATGCTAGGCGGACCCTAACCATGTCAAGAGGGTAAGTACAGATAACTGCTGTCATACCTGAAAAGAAAGTAGAAACTTAAAGGTAAAAAAAAATTTTTGATATACACATACATTTTCCTATCATTAGTAGTATTCTCAATATTATAACAATGGTAAAAACACAATGAAATCAAAGGTGATATTCCTGACAGAATTATGCCATATCATTAGATGGAAAATAACTTAGTAAGTGAAGGGTCAGTTTGTAAAAATGCTTTCAAGTTCTTCCCACTGTGAAGTTATACTGTTAGCACCAAAATGGTGTAAGTGGATCATAAGGTTTTGTTTTGTTTTTTTAAATTATTCTACTATTTATGTATTTCCAGTTTGGATATCAGAAAGGAAACACAGTAGGTCCTCCTGATCCACGGTTTCCACATCCATGGATTCAAGCAATGGATTCCATCCATTTTCATAGATGGAAAATGTAGTGAGGTCTATAATGGTTGAATCTGTGCTGAACATGTACAGATTTTTTGGTCATTATTTCCTAAAACATATAGTACATAAAGTATTTGCACAGCAATTACCTTATAATAGGCATAATAATCTATACTCAGCCCAACACCATCTATTTCTTAATTCCTTTTCCCATGTTCCAAACTTTCTAGTTACCAGCTCAAAGTAGTTTAATAAAAAATTACTGTGGGAGCCGGGCACGGTGGATCACGCCTGTAGTCCTAGCACACTGGGAGGCCAAAGCAGGTGGATCACCTGAGGTCAGGAGTTCAAGACCAGACTTGCCAACGTGGTGAAACCCCATATCTACTAAAAATGTAAAAATTAGCTAGGCATGGTGGCAAGCGCCTGTAATCCAGCTACTTGGGAGGCTGAGGCAGGAGAATCACTTGAACCCAAGACGCAGAGGTTGCAGTCAGCCAAGATTGTGCCACTGCACTCCAGCCTGTGTGACAAGAGTAAAACTGCATCTAAAAAAAGGAGGAGGGGGAGAAGAGAAAAGAAGATCACTATGAGAATTAATGTAGTAGTTAAATAATGAATTGGCAGGAAACAAGAACATGCAGAAATTTGTAAAGGTAAAGGAGGTGGGCAGGTGCCATGGCTCACACCATTCAATCCCAGCACTTTGGGAGCCTGAGGTGGGTGATCACTTGAGCTCAAAAATTCAAGAACAACCCAACACTATTTAAAAAATAGGCCAGGCACAATGGATAGTGCCTTTAATCACAGCACTTTGAGAGGCCAAAGTGGGCGGATCACTTGAGGACAGGAGTTCGAGACCAGTTTGGCCAACATGGTAAAACCCCGTCTCTACTAAAAATACGAAAATTAGCCAGGTGTGGTAGCAGGTGCCTGTAATCCCAGCTATTCTACTTGGGGGGCTGAGGCAGGAGAATCGCTTGAACCCAGAAGGCAGAGGTTGCAGTGAGCCAAGGTCGCACCACTGCACTCCAGTCTGGGCAACAGAGCCAGACTCCATCTCAAAATAATAATAATAATAATGAACTATTAACTTTTGACTGATAGTCAAATTTGACCAAAATGGTCAAAAGTTAAGAGTATATACTCTAGGGCCAAACACATTGGCTGATGCCTGTAATCAACACTTTGAGGCCAAGGCAGGCACACCATTTGAGGCTGGGAGTTTGAGATCAGTCTGAGCAACATGGTGAAACACTGTCTCTACTAAAAACACAAAAATGAGCCAGGCGTGATGGTGGGTACCTGTAATACCAGCTATTCAGAAGGCTGAGGCAGGGAATCCTTGAATCTGGGAAGCGGAGACTGCAGTGACCCAACATCATACCACTGCATTCCAGCCTGGGCAACAGAGTGAGACGATGTCTCAAAAAAAGAAAAAGAAAAAATAAAAGAATATGGACTCTAGAGTGCACCCCCTTGCTTCAAATTAGACTCTACCACTAACTAGCCTAACTAGCTATATGACCTTGATCAAGTTACTTAACCTGGGTTTCAACCTTGTACCTGTCAAATGAGTATCACAGTAAATGGGTACCCAAATCAGGCTTTTGTAAAGATTAAGTAAGCTAACATATGTAAATGCTTAAAATAATTTTTGGTATATAGTAAAGGTTATATATAAGTGTTAGCTATTATTCTCCAGTGTATTCTATTGAAACTATGTACTTTTTTTTTTTTTTGAGATGGAGTTTCTCTTTTGTTACCCAGGCTGGAGTACAATGGCGCGATCTCTGCTCACTGCAACCTCCGCCTCCTGGGTTCAGGCAATTCTCCTGCCTCAGCCTCCTGAGTAGCTGGGACTACAGGCACGCGCCATCATGCCCAGCTAATTTTTTGTATTTTTAGTAGAGACGGGGTTTCACCATGTTGACCAGGATGGTCTCGATCTCTTGACCTCGTGATTCACCCGCCTTGGCCTCCCAAAGTGCTGGGATTACAGGCTTGAGCCACCACGCCCGGCCCAAAACTATGTACTTTTTTACCCTTTCCTTTGAGAACCAAATTATTTGCCTTATCTTCTTGCATGCCCCTGTCCCCCATCTTTCTCCTGCACATCAAAGCTAACAAATTTGAATTAAAAGGAAAGCACAATCAGAGAATTACTGAAGAGGAATATGTAACAACATGGGAATTCAGCTTGCCTGCTGCTAGTAATCAGACTGACATCCATAACAATAATTCAGAGGGTGACTGAAGTTTTCAATTCCTGAAGCTACAGTCTCCCACTGGGCCTCTTTTCTCCATTCATCAACTCCTTACTTTTCTACCTAGCACTGCTTTGTAAGAAGGCCAAAAACGTCCTCCATGAACAAATGAGGCAAATCAGAAACTACTTACCTTGAATAGTGGTGATAACAGCTTTCTTCTTCCCTCAGTTTACAACTACAATCCAATACAAACAGTAGAATATCTTTACCTACCAGGAAGCAATGAGACTCAATCAAGCTGAGACTTGCTTTCAATTTCTATGAATGTGCAAACTCCTTTCTTTCCCTCCCTTAAGTCAAGAAACTGAGGACATAAAGATGAATCTAAACAAAATCAGACATTTTTCTCTAAATTCTTATCTTCTTACAGTCTCTATAGTCTAGAATCCCAGGAATTATGGGAAAACAGAGAATATGTTTTAACTAGTAATTACATTACATTAGAGATCATATTTAGAAAGTATGGTAATTATGAATTATTTATTGTTTTCCAGAAAGAAATACAAAGGACTTATTTTCTTCTTTTTGTTGAGATAGGGTCTTGCTCTGTCACCCAGGCTAGAATATAGTGCCCACTACAGCCTCAAACTCCTGGGCTCCAATATTCCTCCTACCTCAGCCTCCCAAGTTGCTGGGACCACAGGTGCGTATCACCCCACCAAGCTACGAAGGACTTCTTAAAAAAACAGCTAACATTACAAGGAGAGAGTAAAGGGAAAGAAGAAATTAAGATTAGAAATTGCATAAGACAAGGTTGAAGTATATGGATTTTTTTTTTTTTTAGAGACAAGGTTTCACCATGTTGGCCAGTTTAGTCTCAAACTCCTGACTTCAGGTGATCCACTGGCCTCAGCCTCCCAAAGTGTTGGGATTACAGGCGTGAGCCATGGCACCTGGCCAGAGTATATGGATATTTACAGACTCATTAATTCATCCTCTCCCAAAACTTCTCAATGAATACAGAAGTGGATTTAAGTTTTCAAAGATGGCTTCTCACTACTCTCCGTTCCCATCTGAGGTTGACATAGTGGGAACAGCATCCAGAGTCAATGTACATATTCAGAGATTAAAGTATGACAAAAATACATAGATTCTAAATATATACTTTAGACAAAAGAAGGGCTCTGAGCATCATAGATACAAAAAGCTAAGCAAATTGGTCCAGAGTAGAAGTCCAAGGGAGTCCAACTCTACAACAGCTTGTCCTTTAAAAGCACATTATTGCTTCGAGTTTGATTAAATATCAGTTATGAACAACCAAAATATACCTGTCTATGGTTGCGTGCAATCTCTAATGAGTGTGACAACTAAAGTCATGTTCTTAGAAAAGGGTCTACGGAGAGAAAATTCAGTTACAACACTTATGAGCCACAACAGCAACCATTATAACACAAAAGAATAACTAAACTTTTTAATTTAAAAAAAAATAATGCCAGGCGCGGTGGCTCACACCTGTGAGATGGTGAAACCCCATCTTAAAAAATAATAATAATAAATATAATAAAAATAAAAAACATATGCAAGTACTAGAGGCCAAAAAAGCAGAGAGAAAAAAAAACATAAAGTTCTAGGATCAAGGAAAACTTTTTAATTTTTTTAAAAAAAGAATAAATAAATAAAGAATAACTGTATGTCTTTTTCTTCTTCTTCTAACATTTTTTTTTTAAACTTTATTTATTTATTGAGACTGAGTTTCACTGTTGTTACCCAGACTGGAGTGCAATGGCACGATCTCAGCTCACCGCAACCTCCGCCTTCTGGCTTCAAGCAATTCTCCTGCCTCAGCCTCCTGAGTAGCTGGGACTACAGGCGCACACCACCATGCCCAGCTAATTTTTGTATTTTTAGTAAAGATGGGGTTTCACCATGTTGACCAGGATGGTCTCGATCTCTTGACCTCGTGATCCACCCGCCTCGGCCTCCCAAAGTGCTGGGATTATTGGCATGAGCCACCACACCAGGCCCACTTTATTTTACTTAAAAAACTTTTTTTTTTTTCCAAGACAGAGTCTTGTTCTGTTACCCAAGCTGGAATGCAGTGACACGATCTTGGCTCACTGCAACCTCCACCTCCAGTGTTCAAGCAATTCTCCTGCCTCAGCCTCCTAAGTAGTTGGGATTACAGGCACGTGCCAAGACACCTGGCTAATTTTTGTATTTTTAGTAGAGATGGGGTTTCACCATGTTGGCCAGGCTGGCCTTGAACTCTTCACCTCATGATCTGCCCGCCTTGACCTCCAAAAGTGCTGGGATTATAAACATGAGCCACCATGTCCAGCCTTTATTTTTATTTTTGAGGAAAGGGGGTCTCATTGTGTTGCCCAGACTGGTCTTAAACTCCTGGGCTCAAGAATCCTCCTTAGCCTC